TTTCATATAATGCATTATGCTCTAATATGCCTTACATCAGACTGCATTAAGCAGTTCACAATTTTCATGACAGAAAATTTTGCCCAGTCACACCAATCAACACTGGAAGCCATGTTCTCTACTCTTTGCTTGAAGGACATCAGTTTTTTAACATCCCTGCTGACCAGTACAGAAAAGATGCAGGAGATGAGGCCTACAATTTATCCAAGAAGACTAGAACATCTGATCATTAGCAAATGTTGTAGAAAAGGCAGTGCATTCTCCTCAGTAATTTAAGACACCATATTGGTTCGGTCTGGAGCTTCTGTCATTCTCTATTCTTCATTCATTGTTTACATGTAAACCCCTATCTAAACAAAAAAAAGAGAATTGAATTCACTAGATACCCTCGAAAATAATGTGAGAATCTTTCCGAATTCACAGTTGCACTCATCACTATGATCTTGATGTCCTGGTTTTTTTCAAGCAAATCTTTAAGGAGGATCAGAAGAAAATCTGTGTTGATATCCCGCTCATGCACCTCATCAACTATGACATGACTGACACCTGTCAAAGAAATACAACAAAGGAGATAAAACATGAAAAGTAAAGCATTTTTAAAAAAAACTCTTCAATGTATTTTAATTGACTTGGGAGAAAAAATTTTCTTCATTTGTTTTTTGATAAAAAAAAATTTTAAAATGCATCACTTGCCTTTAAGAAGGGCATTACTCTGCATTCTTCTGAGTAGTATTCCTGTGGTGCAAAACAGTATACAGCCCTTCTGTGATGGCAGTCTGCCCTCCAGTCTAACCTGACAGTGAAACATGCCACATTGACCAACAATAAACACGATTGATGAAGAAAAAACATTTTAACTTAAAAAAAGAAAAAAGGTTCTTCTGGCTACTTCAGTCATGAAATGAAAAGAAGTGGCAGGCAATATGTACAGAAAGATGCAGATTGACTGTAAAACTTGATATCCAACACAATCGAATTGATATAGATTGACTGTAGCACTTTGATATGCAAGGTGATCTTCTTTTCAGTAACATGTCATTAGGTAACAAGCAGAAGAGTCCATGCTAATGATCATTTGAAACAATACTCAAAATAGAGGTCACCTATATTGGTCCTCTGAGGCAATACCTGGTAACCCACACTCTTTCCTAGTATCTCATCCCTTTCTGAGGCCACTCTCTCTGCAATTGACATGGCCACTATACGACGTGGCTGTAAAAATAACAAGAGCAATAAACATTATGTGTCAGCACCTGTGTGCCTTTGCATTTCCCTTAACATTTTTGCTGCATTGTTTTATGTCACCATTCTAAGACATACATGTGCATTGATTTGTTAGTAATAAACCACACATTGCTTTTTCCCAACACTGAAAGGCATGAGTTTTTCTACATTTTGCTTCTTTCTACCTTCTTTTTATTTAGAGTTATTTAGCCAAAAATGTTTTCCACAGTTTTGATAGTTAATTAAACTTGTTCAAGCCACATGGTATTTGGGTTTCTAAGCAATTTGCATCCATGCCATTTCACAAAGTAAAAAGCATTAATGTAATCCAAATTCCTCACTGGTGTCTTACTTCTATGTCAGCTATCTCTAACAAGATGCATGCTCTTCCCAAACTCCTAAGACCAAGTAAATACCACAAAAACTGCACCTCAAATCCCCACATTACTTGTTCCAATGCTTCGCATATCAACAAGTTAAAATAATACAAAGGGTACAAATAATTTGCATGAAAAGGTAAGGACAAATAATTATTAGTATCACTATTTGTAAATGACTTGCTGCTTTCTTTTCTGTAAAAAAAAAAAATAAGGGTAAATGACTGATTTATTGCATTATTAATAATAAAAATTTTGATCAATTGTACCTGTGTAACAACAATGTTGCAGGCTGAGCCCTTGCCTTTTTGTATGGCATCATCCAGAATGAACTGAGGAATCTAATGAGTCACAAAGACAGGAAAAATTAACCCTCTCCACCCTAACATCAGTATCCATATTCTCAATACTATTCTCTATGAATTTCTCTAACATACTGACAAGGAGAATTTGTTTAACAATCAAGAGCTTCTTTAATCGAGGATCATTTCCTTTATTCTTGCGACCTTAATGTATGATTCAGAGGGAATATATCAAGGAGAAATTAGATGCTAATCACTCTTGGGGGTGAAAATGTTAATGATCAAGTTACTATTTCTTCTTTTTTAAACATATATTAGCAACTTATCAGGTGCACTGGTATAGTACAAGTCAATGCCAAATTAATCGAAGAACTGACAGAGTCTTGCTACCTCACCAAAGTTTAATTTGCAAAACATTTTTCCACTGTCTCAGTAGACCCTTCAAAGAAATAAGCAAAAGATAAATTAAACTGAAATTGATACCAACTTACCTGAGTAGTTTTACCACATCCTGTCTCTCCAGAGATAACAACAACACGGTTTCTTTCAATCAATTCAGTGATATTCTCCCTTAAAAACATGGGGTGAAAAAGGTAAGTTATAAGTAAAAATTACTTATTTCTTGGTTTAAAACAACTTAATTAAATAAATGCCACATAGAAATCTGAAAAGTGCTGAATATGCATAATATCATTGACAACCTGTCATTATTGCAGCTTTCTTGGTTTTGTGAATCCAAAAATGCATCAACAAGAAATGGGCCTTGAATTCATGTTTTGTCAGAATAGCCAATTTCACCCCAACACCTTCCTTTCAAGGTACACTACCTACTAAAATATTTTAGTGAAAGAGTATTTCCAAACCATTGAAAAGAGAAAAAAAAAACATGTGGAAACAAGACCAAGGCCTTCACTACCATTTCCCAGTAGAGTGAACATCCACCCCTGGTCAAGTAAACAAAGTCTCTGGGAACAAGACTAGATGGCCTGAGGATAATCTTAGGCTAACAAACCACAATATACCTGTGACTTGCAACAGGCAATGTCTTTGTCTCATTGTTAAAGCATGAATTTCTTGACCTCAGCATATTTTGCCTGTTTGAAAATTCCTGAAGTAACTGCTGACTGAGTTCCTTGTGTTGCTCTGATAATAATGGTTTCCATGGAGAACCACTAAAGACATCTTTTACTACAGAAGATGTGGTAAAAGAATTAAAAGGTGCAAAACTGTCAGCATTGTATTGTGTCTTCTTTCTGATAAATGATTCAGAAGTGTTTTGGGCAGGAAAGTTTAAAAAATCATGTTCCTTGACTATAACAGGGTCTTGCTTAAACTCCTCTGGGTTTGTTGATACAGACTGGGAATAACTCTCATGACTGCTTCCAGGTAACACTATTTCATTGACAGGTCCTAGTGATTTTTCAGCTACTTGAGCTGGCTGGCACTGCAATATCTGCTGCTGATTTCTGGGTTCATAAGGTTGCTGCCTGAGTACTGAGTATTTTAACAAAAATGATTCAACTTTAGACAATTTCTCATCATCTATGTAAATCCAGCGGGGTTCATCTTTGTTCTCCATGGCTTCTTTCTTTAAAACACTGGCTGCTCCAACACTTGCAACTCCAAGTTTCTGTCAAGATCAATAGATAGATGACAAGGCATTTTGAAACCCAGTTGCGGTTCATTAAGACCCATTGACATATAGACAAGATGCAAATCCAGCTATAATCAAATGCATAGTTTTGTATCTTTGATTTTTGCAAAAAAACAAACAAACCAAAAAAACATGTGGAATCAATATTTTATTTCCAGGTGCACTTATTTTCTGTAATTCTCTACTTTAATTGCTTTAATTCTCAAACAGTTGCCTTGCAAAATAAATTTGGCTATTTGCAACCCAGCCACAGCCCAATCCATAGTCCCAATCCATAGTCCCACATTCAACACTTTAGCCCCCATGAATGATGGATATCTAATTTCTTTTTACAGGATCATCAGAAATAGTAAAAGTTAGTTCCTAGCTCCTTTCCATCAGCTTCTCGATCTCAAAGTAACTTGACCCTTTCAGTTTGTTCTCAGACTTTCCTGAAATCTTTACATTTATATGTCTTCCTACCTCCAATTCAACACAAGCAAGTGCAGCTGCATTTTTTTCAGCTTCTCGCTTAGATGAACCTTCGCCACCAAAAGACATTGGTCTTGGCCAGGGTATATTCACGGTGGACTGCCAAAAGTTGAAATCCACTTGTTTGTTTGAGAAAGACAGTGAATTTCCCTTTAGAGCTCCTTGTAGTATATTGTGCAGCTTTTCCTTAGAATTTGGAAATCGTTGCGCAGCTTCGGAACCTCGAAAATGTCGAGAAGAGTTTTGGTTTAATAGTCTCGGGGGTTGTGATGGTTGTCGAGTCTGTTGAATGAGGCCTCCGCCAGTTGGGAAATCCTGAGAGGGAAATTGGACTCTTGGAGGTGGGCCACCCATAAGAGGAGGTGGATGAACCAGATCTGAGTGAGGGCGACCTTGGAAAGACGAAAATCGCGGTCGGAAAGTATTGTTTCCTGGTCTTGGAAATCCATTGAAATGCGCCATTTTGAATTTAGCGCTCGTACTGCGCAAGCGCAGATGCAAACTCCCCTGTCACACACCACACAACAAATGTCACGCGATGGTCATATAATAATTAGACGAGGTTAGACCATCTGTATACTTAGGAAAACTTGAAACAGTTTTAGGGGTAAGTTCGTGATGTTTTTGCTGTGAGGAAGTCCTCACAATCGGAATTCAAAGATGAGGAGAAATGAAGTCACTTTGTGGAAACTGGAACGGATAAGTTACAACGGTTTGTTAAGAAAAAGGAGATACGAACTTGCCCTGAAAAAAGTTCCGCACCTGTCTTAAGAGGAATGTTTCATTGACAAAGTTTGGTCCGTTAAGATGAATAAATTTTGCCTTATAATCTAGTAAGCGTCTCTAATGACTTCTACTTGTTCTGAACGTCCATAAAGATGCAGAAAACAAAACAAAATGAACTCAAAAACAACAAACAAGTTACACTTAAAAAGATAAGACTAGGTCAGATTTTAGATAATTATACTCTTTTATTCGATTTTGTTATATAATATAGTCTCTGTCAATATCTGAAATAAATTACCATGATCTAACAACTTAGGGCAATTATACACAAAAAGTTTAGCCACTGTTTAACAAAACCGCCTCCTAAATAATCTTCAATTTAGCAAAATCTTTTATGTGAACATTTGTTATCCGAAACAGAGTCAAGAGGGCCAAAAGCTAACAGTGAAAGGGCATTGATTTAATCAAATTAGCCCTCTTTTAGAGAAAGCCTGAGGCACACTGATTGCATAAAACTGTGGTTTGGGTTGGACTTCGTGTAAATAACTGGTCCCTAAGTTTAAGATTCAGTACCTAAAAAAAAAAAACCATAAAGCTTCTCTCAAAGTTAGAACTGAAAAAAAATTAAAAATTCAATATTTTCTAGGGAAAAAATCCCATCATTCCACTATACTTCAAGCTTTAAGTTCAACTCTTTAATCACCAATCTTTTTTTTCTAATCATTATGGTGACCAAACTGGTCACAGCGTTAAAGCCCTGCATTTGGGAAATTTCCATAGTGGGAGTAGTATGTTAAGGGAACAAACTCATTTACATGGTATCAGAAAAACTGATCAACAATTGTTCTGATTATATGACTGAAAATGTAGGAAATAATATCAGAGAATCAAAGTATAAAATAAACATCATATAGCTATAATTATATGACTGAAAATGTAGGAAATAATATCAGAGAATCAAAGTATAAAATAAACATCATATAGCTATAATACAAATCAAAGTGTACAAGTCATTTGTTACTTCAACAAAGTAAAACTAATAGTGTTTACTACATGCAATCATTGTTCATGCTGCTCTTCAAGAGCCTGAATAGTTACAATGTGAGAATCCATGTATCAAATCATCAGAATATGTGATTATTTGTAAGAGGAAGAGTTCAATTTGTCAAAATTTTAAAACACCTTTTAAAGAAAGAAATATTGCATAGCCTTTCAGTGTACCAGCAAAACGCAAACTGAAATCAGAACTGATTGCTCAAACTTAGCTCAATTTCTGCCTTGTTTTTCTTAGTAGAAAAATCTGTTATCAAAAGAATAAATAATAACATAGATTCCAATGCTTTCTGGATTGGCTCAGAGATTTGCAAGACCACAAGGTTCTACTGTTTATCAATCCTACACAGTTCTCAACACCCAAGTGTTTGGGTGAGGTTATTTTTTGGTGGTTGACTGCACAATGTTACACAAACAAACTGATTGTGTGATTTTGACCCATGGCCAATCCTGTTATTCATTGCAATGCTACTTTAAAATAACTTAATACTTAGAATTTTGGATCATCACAACAGATGAGACTTCATTGAACTCAACCTTTACAATCAGTGACATTTACTTAAATTCTACATATACTCAATGACTGTTTGTAAAAATAACCAAATTGTATGAGTGTGATGACTTTTAAATTCAATTCATTATACAGAAACAGGTAATATAAAGCACAGTTTCAAATTTATTGAAAAAGACCACTGACACTACTGATTTCACCGTAATGGGAGTGGCCAAAAGTGACACAAGGGCCCAGTACTCACACCATGTCATCATCCACTCCTGAAAATTTAGTCTTGCAAGTCTTGACACTCAGAGCAGTTGGTCATCACAGTTTCCTGATAAAGTTCTACCTGAATAGTGCTGTGGTAAATACGGAACTCGTTCTTCAACTTCTGATTTGCAATGTTGAGGACTTTCTGTGAGTCATATCCTTGTTCTGGAAGAAAATATCATTCAGTAACATTGCGTTTGAAAATAATTCAAATCAGGAATTCCTAGCTGTTGATGCTTCACACCAATCAGATAAATATGGAATATCATATCAAGTGCACTAGCTTCATTTGTGGGGTAAAAACTAGCAAACAGGAACCCACATTTTTGAAGGTAGCTAACAAAGTTTCATCAATTTTCTTACTGTGATTGTGAACTATCATTTTTTTTCCTTGAAAAAATGGTTGGCCAGTGTACACACAAGTTTGCCCAAAAAAACTTACAAAATATTGTCAAGCAACCCACTCAATGCCCAAAAGAACCTTACATCAGTATGCATATTCTCCATAATGTTCTCTATACATTTTTCTAACGTGCTGACAAGGAGAATTTGTTTAACAATCAAGAGCTTCTTTAGTTGGTGATCATTCCCTTAATTCTTGTGACCTTACTGTGTGATTCAAGTGAGATATTGTAAGGAGAAATTAGATGCTGGTCACTCATGGGGGTTTAAGGGTTAAGAGAGCACTATGCATTGACCCATCTGTTTGTCGTATGTGCCACACTACATATCACCTCCTCCCAATATGACCATCAATTCTCCACAGCTGAGTTCATAACAGATGGTTGAAAATCAACAGCAAAAGTCTCACAAGCGAGTTTTATTCATACACACACCTATTGCCAAATGGACAGCTAATGCAGCTTTGTTCACTGTCAGAGACCAGATGTGTAAACTGTGTGCAGCTACAACTCCTTCAATGCCCTCCAGTGATACCTTTACATTATTGTACTTGATATCTTTAGGAGTGCCTAGTAAAAAATTTACAGACATAACCAGTAAGTTGGAACAAGGAGAAGGCATATCAAGTTCCAAGGTCATATCATTGAATGTAACATCCAATTTATCACACCACCCTCTATAATATCTTTAAATTATGCTTTACCTCTGGAAAAACAAAGGTTTAAACTGATAACTTGAACCCAAACTATCTAGTAACAAACCCTGTTTATTTGTACCAAGGGTGCACTCAAGTGATCACTTTGATACAAATAAATGCGTACATAAAAATTAATTCCTCATGCCAGAACTTCAAAAAGAAAATATTTTTCTTTTAAAAATCTTCAGTTTAAGCTGCTGCAAATACTGGTTGGCATCTTGGAGAGCAAATTTAAACAACCCACAATAAAATTTGTCCAAGTTGTGTTTATTTTTATCTGCCTCCATTGCTTTTTGGGTTTAATCTCTCCACTTCAAATACTCAGATATCTGTCTATGCATTTTTGCAAGAAAGTGTATTGATCAACACTGACACTACTGAGAGAGAGAGACAAGGCACCTTCTAACTCCTCTTCCTGGATGCATACCTCCCCCCCCCCCCCCTCTAATCCCAATTCTCTATCATGCAAACAGGTGCTGAGCATGTACATGTACATGTAATTACTGCTCCAGGATATTTCCAGGGCGTGAAATTGCGCCTAATACAGGCGCCAATGCGACTAAATTTTTCACTTTGGCGACCAAATCCTGAAAGTTAGTCGCCAAATTGGTGACTACAACGTTTCATCATAACCTTACCAAGAGATATAGTGAATTAAATAAATTTGCAAAGATAAATCCGCGGCAAACTTCCTCGTTTAGTTTGTTTCCAAAACGTAGCACATGTATCTCGATCAATAACTAGACGCCATCTTGGATTTAGATGAGCCTGAAGGTTGTATGTCATACATCCTAGTGTCCACTTTGTAGCACGTTAAAGATCTTTTCCCTAACTTAATTTTGGAGGATCTATCTAGAACGCTGACAGCGTAAAGAAAGATTTTGTTTGTCTTTGAAAATGGCGACCAACTTTTTTTGAGTTGGCTACCACTTTGAAGAATTCAGGAGCCAAGTGGCTATCAGAAAAAAAAGTTAATTTCACGCCCTGATTTCTTGGATTTCTTTAAGACCAGCAGTACTTTTGTCATCAATTGGGAGAGTACTATCTGACTGACAACAATAGTGAACTGGTCAAAGAATTCAAGCTGTTTGATTTTAATTAGCAATAAAGAAAGCTTTGACAGTATCTGCTTACCTTCCATCAAAACATGAATTGTCTCTTTGAGAATGTTTAGAGTTGTAAGAAGAACCAACAGAGAAAAAAGGAATGTGCATATAGGGTCAGCAAGCTTCCACTCAGGCTGTTGGACACAAAAATAGCAAAATTAGATTGGGTCATAGCAGTTGAAGCAGTCAGGGGGGGTTTGAAACAGCTTTCCTTTTCTTCCTACAACCTTTGGTATGATGGGACAATTTAAGGTCTTTTCCCAATGCATTAAATTACCACGCCACACATTATGTTTCTGATTAACTGAAAAAAATGCATTTTTCATGTAACATGAGTGCAAAGTTGTAACATGAGTGCAATTAAAAGCTAAGTTTTTCATTTGTCTCATGATGTAGTCACGTGTGATGTAGATCAAGATGTTTCGACTGCATACTGCTAGTCTTCTTCAGGTGATGAGGTCGACTGGTCATGCGTGATCTTATAAAGCATGATGCTCTGCTGTGATTAGTTGTTTTTTCGACAACTCTGATTGGTGCATTTCGATCCTTGCTGTACACTCAGTGATTTGCTCCCTTGGCGGTCTGCTGTCGCATGGCTCTCCTGTTGTTGTGTTTTTTAATTGTGGGCATCCACACTTCTGGAATTTCTATTCCACTATCTCTGTTGATGTTGCTAGGGTAAAGTCTTATATAAATTGCTTCTCGGTACAGGCGAGTCAAATGTCTCGGTCATGCTCCTTAATTTTGTCTTGCATAGGTTTTCCAGTCCCTCTGATGTACACCTTGCTGCATTCACAGGGAATCCTGTAAACTATGCCATCACAAAAGTGCATGCAAAAGTGCATGCATGCTATCAAAATTCCATCTGTCTTGACCTTCTGTGATCATTTTTTCATATAATTTATTAATAAGTAATGACATGATTTCTTGTGCAATTTGGTATAAATGAGCACTTGTAAACATTTCAAAGAGTACAAATTGCACTTGCCATACAAAATTTACTCATACTTACTAACACCAAATTGTACCCCAAATCATCTTATTACCTACACTAACAGTATATGTTTAGTGAGGGTGTATTCCTTTTCATTGTTACCTTATATTTGATGATGTATGCTGCAATAAGGACTCCCACACTCTGAACAATGTCTCCTAAAACATGAATAAATGCAGCTCGTACATTGATGTTTTGTTTCTCAGAGGCCAAGCTTCCACTTCTTGAAATGCGATTGGTAGAAACAGTTTCAAATTTTCCATTATGGCTATGACTGGTGTCATGAGAGTGACCTCCACCACCATGGCTGTGATTATGTCCAATACCTGTCTGATGGAGAATAATACCAAGCCTAATACAAAAGAAAAAAATTGTTTTAACCCTTTAACCTCTAGTAGTGACTGGCATCTAATTTCTCCTAACCATGTCAACCCTGAATCAAACATAAAGGTCAGGAGAATGAAGGAGCTAATCAGCGACAAAAAAAGCTCTTGATTGTTGGACAAATTCTCCATGTCGGCACCTTAGGAAACATTTAGAGAACAGTATGGAGAATATGCATACTGATGTTAAGGTGTAAGGGTTAACCTTTAGACCCTAACATCAGTATAACATTATATTCTTCATACTGTTCTCTAATACATTTTCTAAGGTGCTGACAAGGAGAATTTGTCCAACAATCAAGACCTTCTTTAGTTGGTGATGATTTCCTTTATTCTTTTGACTAAAATGTGTGATTCAGAAGGCCATTTTGTGAGGATAAAGTAGACACTGTAAGACTAGAAACAGTTCATTATTTGTTGGCTTTCCAAACTTGGCTGTGTGTGAGCTCACATTTTACAAACAGACTTAGAGCAGTCACCAGTCTTAACAACAGGGTTGCCACCATTACCACAGGAAGTGGCAATAACAGCAGAAGAAAAAATTATCTTGACTTCCAAATCTATGTATGTGCAAGTCTATACAAACAAATGATGCCAACTTACAAGATGTTCACTCCTAATCCTATGCCTGCTGTAATAAGCATGATATCTGCATTTATTTTAAAATCATTTGACAGGACTCTTATCACAGCAAGGTACACCAACACCCCTGTTAACACCCAAATGATGAGAACTGACACAAGAGCACCAAGCACCTCTAAAAAGAGAATACATGAAAACAATCAAAACAAATTCATGCGATAATTATATCAAGCATATTACATGGCCGCACCAAGATAGAAAATTTCTCTTTGTGTTGACAAATATTCTATTTATATTCTATTCATCACATAAACACTAATGAAATACTAAATCAATTCAAAAGGCATTATTTTTAAATTTAACCATAGCAACAGTGATCTTTTCATGTGTGAAGATAACAAGTTATCTTTTGATGACATCTTAAATTTTGTTGCTAGTTGTGAGAGTAGTTTCAGTCCACGAGTGACAGAGGCACACATCAGGGACAGTAACCATTTGACATTTTGGCTCGAGTCAACTCTGAACAAACATGGCAAGGTTAATTATTAACAAACCCTTAACCCAACCTTTAATCAGGGGATATCTGTACTCAAGGGACACTTGCTCTGGTCTCAAGGATATCTCCTGAATTGAGGTTCCCCTGTGCTTTACAAAGTCAAGAACAAATTAATTCACATCTTATTTACCTGCTCTGTAATAGCCAAAGGTCTTTCTCTTATCTGGAAGCCACCGAGCAACCCAGATAGCAAAAAGACTGATTAAAAATGATGCAAAGTCAGATAACATATGGGCAGCATCTGTCATGATGGCAAGACTGCCAGCAAGCAAACCACCTGTGGACAGAATTCCAGATGGTTTATCACCAGACATATTAGAAATAAGTTGCTGAAAATTAGTTTTATTTAACATTGCAAAGAAACCAAAACCTGTGTATCCAGGTGTAATGGTATCCAAACCTGTTTATCTCCAGGTTTGGATACCGTAACAAATTTTCACAGATGTCTCTGAAAATCTAGAGATCACCTCTCCACCCTACCCAGGGTTCTCCCTAGTTTTCAGCACAACAGGTAAGGGACCTTTTCAAACCAGTAAAGCACATTTGCAGCTACAGGTGGCTGGTCATTCTCAACTCTGTCATTTCCTAAAGCATACAGTACATCATGCCTGTCAAAAATTTTCCATAAAAAAAAATTCATAATGTGAACAATACACCTTTAGGTTCAGAGATTGAACAAAACAGAGTAAAATTATAAAAAGCATTATATTTGACTATGACCTTTCCAAACTGCTTATAATGTAAACTGGTCTCCCTTCGATTTCAGCTGATATCTTTGGCATCACTTACATGGCATATTGCTGGAAAATCAGTGGTGTCAGCTAACGAATCACATTGCTATGAAATCAAATCACATTGAATAGCTGAATTTGTGTTCTAATTGTCTCAAATTCAGAACTTTTACGCTGTCAAGGGATTTTATTTTCAAGGCTACTTTCAAACCGTTGTCTGAAACACATTTAAAGTAGAATTTCACGATGAAGACTAGCTTTGTCCCCATGTGTTCGTTATACAGCCGGCAATTGTAGAGCTTTTGTTTACCCCTAAAATTCTTGTAAAGCTTACCAGCCACTTTTCATGACCTCGTTACTGGACAGAAACAACAGCATTGTTTGCTGCCGTTTCATCGTGGAAACTGAACAACTAAACAACACCAAATTTGCATGTGCAGAGAACTGACAAATGTAAAGAGATTTAGCACAAAGCCTGCCAAAAATCACTCTTGCTTCGAAATTCAAAAGGTAACAGTCAGTGTTAGCTAACTAAAGCACACATAGATCTATAATAGTGCACACTGTTGGCTTGTTATTACACTTTGTTACCAGATTGGCTCACCATAAATGCGTATTTTTTAAGGGTTCTGAGCTGAGTTCTCAATAAATTTTACCGGTTACTGCCTGATAAAGGAGAACCCTGCCTACCCTACCTAAATTTGAGTTCTGTCCTGATTTCTCCCCACAAAGCAAAGTCATCATTTAAATGGATGCATGTGATCCAAAATGGAATGAAATACACAAATAAAAAGATCCTAAAATAGAAGGAAAATTTAAGGGAGATAAAGTTTATAAATTTTCCCTCTTTGTAAGAAAATATCTAACAGGATTTGTTTTATATTTGGGAAGACTACAGTAACAAGCAAATCACAACAATAAAGGAAAATAAGAGTCTATGTTGCATTACTTCTTTCAATAAATGTAACTGAATCCCCAAACAAACTGCAACCTTTTTTTTGCCTACAAGGCTGTGCTCTAGGAAAATTTTCAGGGTGCCCTTCGGGCGCCTAACCATGATAAGTAGGTTGCCCAGCCTTCCAGGTTGGTCGCCCGAATTGATTAATCAATTGATCGATAAATTTTGATCGAATGATTACAATTGCAAGCAAGTCACCAAATATGGTGCTGATAAACATCTTGCATGCCATGGATGAAGCTAATTAAATAAACACAAATTTGCATAAAGGACGGTTTTGTTTTATTAATCACGCGCTCCACTATTGAAACTGTTGAAACACAAAAATGAAATATAAGCATCACCACTTCAATAGAAAAATTAGATCTTCAACACATGCTTGTGCAAAAATCGTGCAGTTTCTCACAGGCAAGGAAAAAATAATTTTTCATGCTAAATCATCTGAAACAATTTTACATGACACACGCGACAACTTTGAGCATGAACAATTCTTGTTGTTGTCCTGCCGAATATTTTTTAGTTCTGCAAATGTCATCAAATTAGCAAGTAAAATTATAAAATGTTAGTTATAATCAGTTGCTTGCTTTATCGCATCATTTAATGGACAAGAAACCTGGAACATGTACTATATTAATAAACCAGAAGAGAAACCACCGAAGCGAAACAAGACCCATGAACTAACTTAATATTTAACCTAAATGTACAGATCACACAGGCTATTGATTGCACTGCGCTTTCAGCACTTTTGCTTTTTGGGCTAACGGGAGCTGGGGAGCACAATGGAGTTTCTTTTTGTTTTGTTCCGTTCCATTTCTATACGACTGGTTTCGTTTCGGTTTCACAAGCCGAAATCTACGCGCGCGGACGGGCGACCGCTTTTCTTTTTCAGTCACCCGAGACCAAATGTTAGTCGCCTGAGGCGACCGGGCACCGCTAAAGCACAGCCTTGGCCTATTTTCTATTTTTACCCTTTAACTCCCATAAGTGACCAAGAGAGAATTTCTCCTAACAACATCAATACAATATCAACCAGATAAGTTATGAGAGTAAAGAAAAATAATCTATTTAGGAATAATTAGTTGAACTAATACTAAATTCTCTGAACTAACATTATTAGAATTGTATGGTTGACAATTAGGAGAATGACAAATTTGATCTGGGAGTTAAAGGGTTAAACCAAAGATCAAAGTAAATATCAAAATAGCTACATGTTACAACAAGGTTTAGCCAAAAAAAATATAATAAATTGCTTTCACCTAAGCAGAAAACTAGAGATTGTGAAGATTAAGTGCACAGTATGATTATTTTAATAATAATTCATTGAAGAAGTAATTAAAAAATATATTTTGGCATATGGAGTGAGTTATATATTCTATAATTACAGTGTCATCACTTATTTATGTATAGTTTTCACGCTAGTTAAGTAAAGAACAATGGTATATGTAATACGTATGTCGGAAATAATACGAAAACATGTCAAACAATATAAGCATATTGCTAGAAAATCGAGTTTGGGATGTCATATATCATGCAATATTACCAAAAGGATACTTCTGAAATAGTTTGATATTTTTTTGTAATGATCAAAACAAAAATTTTGCAAGAAACAATCAGTATATCCGGCAACATTTAACGCCTGACGGGAGTATACACTTGGGAGTTTCCCTACTATCAATGAAAGTTAATTGAGCGACCGCAAGGTAATTTTTCGCACTTACGCCTGAACAGATGACGAATGCAAATTTATGGCATGATCGATATCGCAGCCGAATTCATTATTTTTTAAAGAATTGCCCGATATTCGGTTGTTTCTGATTTTCGTCAGCTCTTGCGTAATTAATATTTCTCTGAGCCACGATAATTTCCGTGAACATTTTCCTCCGCCTTGAGCCTCAAATTGACAAATTAAATTAAAATTGTTCCCTCGATGTTGGCGGCCGAAGCGATACGAAATTAATGTTTTTTCCACTGAGATAATGAGGTAAATTGGCCACCGTAGACAATTTCTATGGCTGACGTTTCGAGCGTTTAATAGCCCTTCGTCTGCTCCTAATATCCTCTGGATTAATGAAATTCCGAAAGATTAAATTTCAATTTGTGTTCAGTTCGAACCTATACTAGTGCAAAATCACATACCACAGGATATTAAACGCTATCCAGCAATCTATTGCAACACTTTAGATTTATCTCTTCTCAGGCGTATTTCGGTTTATGTACACACTTATTAATGAGGAAGATTCCTCAGGAGTCGAAATGGCGAGGAATTGCGTAATACTCTAATAATCACCCACAGTCTCTCAACCGCATCTCACTGTGTAGAGCCGCGGGGGCAACAAGAGGCAGATTAGATCTTGGAAACAGATTTAATCTAGAAAATTCCCTCGCTACTTATGCAAAAAGAAAAAAAACAGCCAAGTGCACAAATGAGTACTGATTCTGACCACTCACATTACGCACAAGATTCCATCCAAAGATAATACTCACCAACGACCTCTGCGATCACGAAAAGCAGGCAAACCACGCTTGCTATGACCAGTTTCTTCCTTGCCCTTGCATTCGAATAAATAGGTTTACTTTCGTGACAATGAATATCTGTCAGATAGCTAACATCGGCCCCTTCGCTGTAGTTTTGGTATGCTATAAGAGGCGAATGTTCTGCAGTAACCAAGATTGGCAGTTCATCGCAGGTACATGTCGGTAGACCATTCGATCTCAGACAGTCCGGGGCATGAGTAAAAACTGGCGTTCGCTCATCTTCGTGTACGTTAATGCTAAGCATCTCTGTTTCTACCATCGGATCGATCAAATTTTCATTAGATCGACTTAACGATGTTTGCGCTTCGAGTCTAGTCAAAACTGTCGACATGATTCACGCATGCTGTAATCAATGAATACTGACCAACAGGACTGCAGGCTTTATATCTTACTATGAGATACTTTAGTTACATAATGGATCCCCCAGTCTCCCCATCAAACCCGTTTTTTTGAAAAAGTACATTTGTGTACTTTTTCTTTTGTAGTGAGGATATCTAGCAAATTTCATTGCCATAATAAAGTAGTTCCCAAAGGAAGGCAAAACAGTGAATGAGCCATTTTTATAGTTGTGTACTTAGTTGCCAAGCCTTTGATTTGGAGTGAGGCTGAAGGTGACCTTGCTGTAATAGAGACCAGTATCTAGTTAGCATGATAGCAAATTAAATATCATTTGAAAAGCAGCAATGTTTATATCATAATAGGGTCACTTTTAGCCTCTCTGCTTTTCAAAGGCTTGGCAATCAAGCATGCAGCTGTACGATGGACTATTAACAGTTCCTTTGAAAGACAGGATACATAGATTAGCATACAGTTCTAGTGCTTGTGTGGTCCTCAAACATACTAATGAAAAATTATAATTTAAGTAATCAATACTTTTAGTATTTTGGTTTTGGAAAATCATTTTTATCTCATGAAAGTTGAAACTCTTCCTTTAATATTTGTTATTACTAATAAGATGAATGCCTGATGAAAATCTGCTCAGCCCTTCACCCATTACACCCTAACATCAGTATGCATATTCTCCATACTGTTCGCAATACATTTCCTAAAGTGCTGACAAGGAGAATTTGTTTGATAATAAAGAGATTCTTCGGTTGGTGGTCATTTCCTTTATTCTTATACTGTTAACATTTGATTAAGAAGTTATAATGAATAGAGAAATTAGATGCTAGTCACTCTTTGGGGTTAAAGGGCTGACTCAAAAAATGTGATTGGTACTGGATCTGCCTGTTTCATGTAAAAATCTACTTAGGTGTCAGTCTGTGGGTCAGAATTTTATAGCAATTAAGTCTTTCCTTGGTATGCCGACATGAAGAATGTGAACTTGATTTGCATTACAAGAATCACTCTGTATCTAATGCTTGACGACTGCTGTTTTTCTGCTGTTTTCTCTGGATGCCTGAACAGCAGATCCAACCACGCCTTTGGGGAATGGGGGGAAGGGGGAGGGGAGGGGTTGGGGGGGACGAGGCCCAACTCGTTTTCCTAACAGTGGCTGGCAATTGAGCCTGGTCAGAGTGCAAAATGGGAGCCAGCAATTTTAGTGATTTGAGGCCACAGGGGAGTTATGCTATAATGTCCTCCTCCTTTTCATTTTACTTATTAACAAAAAGGTCATTTTCAGTTCTTTCATGGTTGTTTCACATTACATCGAAATAGTACTTAGGGCATGCATAACGTAAACATTTTGCCCTGCACACAACAAACAGCTACACCGCCATCAGGTAAGATCCACGAAAATAAAATTCCAAACAACAGATAACAAAATGTTTCTTATCAGTACAAGGTCATCATGTTTCAAGGTCTTGCTGAACAAAGCAGCCATGAAAAATATGGAAACTGAGCTTGATGGCAAAATTCATTGAATGGGGACCACAACTTTGCACTCAAACCAAAGCCCTCTCGTTGCAAGTATCGCTTTTCGGTAAAAAATAGCAGAGGCCTTAATGGTATTAGTTCCACAACTCACTATGTTCTGAACTTTTTCAAAAACTCCGGTACTGGCCATTGAATCGAATCTTCGTTTTTCTCCTTTCGAAACTCTTTCGTTTCCTTCTTTATTCTTTCCACACAGTAACCGCACAACTGACCCTCCACCTTGTAGTTACCGCATACTGCACAGATCTCGATGTCCGTTCTGTTCTTAAGCTGCTTGTGCCGATTTCTCAATTTCCGTTTGTGTACCGTGGTCCTCTTCTTAGGAACTGCCATTAATAAATATCCATCATCGGTGTGTCTTTCTGTTTGTAAGCATTCAGTCGATTCGATGGACGAAACAATGTTCCCCGACAAAGCATAAACTGGTAAGTACTGCCTTGCGTAGATAATTCGAAGATTGTACAACATCCGCTCTTCCAAAGCAAGGAAGTTTCGTAGCACACTTCCCACTTGCTTCCACGCTAAAATAGACGCCATGTTTTTTCGAATCGAGAAGGACTGGGAAGGGTAAAATTGTAGGCAGACTGGGGTGGGTGCATGAAGGATTAATTAATTATTTGTCTCTTACAAACGATTTGTGGTTTCTTTTTATTTCTTTTTTTTTCTTTCTTTTCAGTACAAAGTAGTTTTCGCCTTGAAAATGTTTCGCCTCTGTTCAGAAGTCGTTTCGCCACAACCATAAGCGGCTATCTCCCAGTTTTACAAGAAAACTACCTAAACCATACTTTTGACTGTATCTAAATAACACTCAAGCTTCCTCTGATTTCTAAAATTAATTAAAATCTAGCTCTACTTGAAATTGTCTTTGCGATTAGATTTGAATCAGGATCCTCCATGCGATTAGATTCGACTCAGGATCCTCCAGGGTCTTTTCTCTCTTCCTTTTTAAAAGGTGGGACGCGCGCCAAATGTTTTTGTGGCGTTCATCGACACCGATCTTTCACTTCAATTTTTTACGACGCAAATTTTTCGTTTCCGGTTTTCGCAAGAGAGGGAAAACTTTGATTGAAGACAGAGATGAAGTTAATGACTGCGCTTACCGTAATGATCCGATCTAGCGCCTGGGGCGCTTATTTTCTCTTGGTAAATCGAGAGAGGATGTTTATTCGAACCAGGGCGCTTATTCAGGACAGGGTACTTTTTTCTTTCTTGAGAAACAGTAGAATGTGCAGAACAAAGCTTTTATTTCTATCTAAAAAGAATCGAGAGGACTGGAAAACGGACTTGTTGTCCCTGGATCATTCTTAGCAAGAACGATCAACCAAACAACAATCATCACAAAATTTTGAGATCACTCGTTTGACGAACTGTACACTCAAATAAAAAAAAAACAGTTGTAAGACTGAGACATAGACCACTGTTTTTCTAATTAGGCTTCTAACTTCGAGGGAGGCGCTCATTGAAAAGTGGGCGCTTATTGGAACGACGGTAGTATATCGGATCATTACGGAATGCCTTTTCTTGCTTTCAAATTTTACAAATGCTGCTAATCTGGGGGGGGGGGGTAAGATTTGGAGAAGAAGCTTTTCCTTTTTTTAGAGAATCATTCAATCTCCTTAAGAGAGAGAACTGTGATCTAGCTAATTTGTACAAGACGAAGAGAAGAGAATCGCCAGACTCGTGACAGAAATTGTTCACCTGTTTAGAAAATTGTGAAAGGGTAAAGATTATGAGTTTGAACAATTCCATTATAACCTCTTTCTTATAAAAGGCGTTTTAATTAATTTACGTACTGGTAAACACATTTATGATTACTTCTTTACGATTGTTTGCCCAAGCATCAACTGGGAGAGAAAGTTAGTTTCTAAAGAAACTGTGGCATTAGGTTGGTGGGGGGGGGGGGGGGGGGGGGAGAGGTAATAAAACTTAATTCGGTTTGATTAACTGAGTTCATAACTGTAAATTAGCCACCGTAGAAAATTACTAAAGTTGGCGTTCCGAGCGTTGGCCCTTGCTCAGAGCGAATGATGAAGGACTAACGTTCGAAACGTTAGCTTTAGTAACTCTCTACCGTGGCTAATTTACAGTATCAACTCGTTCGCATAAAACTAAATTTTCCCCTTTGCGAGAACTTCTTAGTGATCGACGTGAACACGACTTTATCCTACTGTCTCAGTAAATTTTAAGTTGTTTTTACTAGTTTTAAATCAAATTTGGAAGTCTTGTTTGATTTTTCTATGAGCGATGCGCTTTTGATTCAGTATACTAGTTTTCAAACCAAGATGCAATTTCGCATGAGGTGACTTAGAGCGCATATATCTTTTGTTCTGCTTCTCTTTAAGTTTATAAAGCACGGTTCCATGCATGCACGAGTTGTACAAACTTTAATTAGAGTCAAGCACGTACCTTGGTAAATGAGAGAAAATGTGGAACCCTCATCCCTCTTTTTCTTTCCAATTGCAATTGATTGCTGTTGTTGCTAAAAAAAATGTTCAATCTAACCTTGTAAATAAGGATCATAATAAGCATAATGACGTCGAAGCGCGCAACCTACAGCGAAAGAAACCGTGATAATTAGCCATCGTTATTCGCTAGTAATGATGATGATGGTTGTTGATGGAAGTCTCTTTAGTGGGATGTGCACTTAATAAAAAAGCGACATTAGCTGCGTGTCAACGCGGAACGTTTGTAAAGGTAGTTGCACTAAGCTAACTTGGGGATGACGAATGGAAAGAGGACCAAAGGGTTAACGGACATCAAATTTCTCAAACTCTTCCCAAAAGGAAAATGCCTAGGAACGAGATTAGGTCTCTCGCAAAATGGCTTCGCGCGCTTTTATTGAAAACATTTTTAAAAAGCATCCCCACACACAATAGCGTAAACAGAGCAAAAAAAGCTGCAAGGCCTTGCGCGAAACGAAGTGAGAGAAAAAAGGATAAACTGATGAAAAAGCGGCGATCATTTCGTAAAATGCTTAATTTCACTAAGTTTTGAAGAGCTACACTGGAAATATCTGGCTCCCAGTCCGTATATCATGACCTCGAGTCAAAATATTTTTCTGTGCCTTCCTCTCATTAGTCGAAATGGTCTTGACAACGTTCCCGTATTAGCTGGTGCTACTTCTGGGCTGGATGTGCCTTCCTACGACTCCAAATTTAGGATCCTCCATATTCCGATGAGAGAAAAGGCCTGGCATGAGTGGAGCTACAACCGAGGGCGGAGAGTCAACCTCAGGGCTGTTATCTGGACTCTGTTTAGCCTTGGTCTTCACGTTCAACTGATTCGGTCTTATTCCGTTACTCATTCTTTCGTCCGGTCCAAGAATTTTCTGAATGGTTGCAAACAACACTAAGACAAACAGACTGACAATTCCATAAGCTCTAAATGTCATTTTGGTACCAAACTGGTGTATAAGCACACCACCTATTATCGCGCCGCATCCCCTCCCTAAGCCGTGATGTAATCCTTGTAAAATGCCTTGAGCGGAGGTCGCATATCCAGGGGGTGCAATGCGACCTACATAGCTTGTGCAAGCTGCCCACACTGCAGCATGTGTCATTCCTTGCAAAATTTCCAGAGGAAGCACTAACCATGGATTGTTTAAGAACGAAATGTACACAAAACGAATTAAATTCCCCAAGAGGCCGACGTAGAGGACGCGAATGTGACCAACGCAGCCAATGAGGCGACCCACATTGAAATAACACGCGATTTCCGAAATATGATCGATCAACGAAGCTATCCCGAACAGAGTCGGCGGACCACCGAGGTCCTCAAGATGCCAGAAAAGAAAAGTGAAAATGAGGCCGACTCCAAAACCTAAGAAAAATGTCACGAGTAAAAACGTACCGTATCGCACTGATAGCAGAATGCGGTATAGTCCGGATCCTTCACCCCGAAGTCCTTCGTCCAATTCTAATTTTTCTTTGTTTGGGAAGGTGAAGCGGGTAGCCACAGTCAAGGCGCACACCATGAAGACGAAAAAGAAATAAAAGCCAACCGTGTAATTCTGGCTGATTATTTCACCACAAAGTTCAACTCCACTGATGCTATCGATGACAAAACCTAAAAGAAACATGGCTGTTCCCCATCCAAGGCTTCCCCACATGCGCTGGCGCCCGTAGAGTTCTTTGTTCTCTCCTAGCATCCCAAGAGTTGCTGAGTCTGCCAGTGTTATGGCCGGAGCCGAGAAAAATTCTCCCACGACCGTTAAAAAGAGTAGGACTAAAAATACTTGGTGTACTCCTTCACGATCATAAACTAAAGAACTCTTGGCTTTGAATTCGGGCTCTTTTTTGTCCGGGGTGTTAGGCGCGAGGAAATCTTTGATCTCTGATGTCTCTCCGTCAACAATTTGCGATACATTTTCGGTGAGAATGAAATATTTCCTACACGTAACAGGTGCTGGTTTTATAAAAGCCAACGAGAAGTTGAAGGAAATCCAACACATCAGCGAAAATATCATCAAAAGTTTCCGCTTGTTCAAACGGTCGGCCAGAGATCCTAGAAGTGGCGCGCTGAAAAATTCCACCATCGGACGGCAGCCAACTAGAATGCCGCTTAAACTTGGGTTCATTCCCAGCTGCTTAAAATACACTCCTAGAAGTGGGAAAAATGAACCAACGGCTCCCCAGTAACAAAAATAAAATACCTTGGACACTAAAAGCTTCCTGTTCACGCGAATGAACTTGGGACAAAATGAATTTCTCATTTTCTCGTTGTGTTCAATTTCGGAGTTTACCCCATTGGACTGCGCCATTACTAGAAAGGCGCAAATTTCATAATTAGCCAAAAATATCACTTTGGATTCAAGCGTGGTGTATCTTTAAACAAAAGGAACACGGTAACTGTTTAATTTTTAAAGTTCTTGCAGAGAATTAATTGCTAGTACCGACTAGTGAAACTATTTGAGTGGTCTGTGGTTGTATTGTTCTAGGCTTGAAACATGTAGTACTTTCACCTCGGTCGACCAGCACGATTTTTTAAAAATGTAGGTTTCGATTTTGAGAAGATCTCAACCGTTCCTAACGGTTAAGTTTACGCGAAATCGTTCATGAAAATGATATCACCTTTTAAAAACTATACAGTTTGTATAAAATTTTAAATGAGAGAAACTGTAGTCATGCAGTCAGATTAAAACGTCCCAAGAAGTTTCATTGCAACATAATGACTTCTCGAAAGACGGCTTGTCTAAAGAACAAGTGCAAAAGATGATAATTGAACTAAGAAAAGTAACTCTAAAAAACCGTTCCTCAAAATTTACTTTCACATGAAATCGTTGCGAGGTTTTCACGGTAGAGAAAACCTTTTTTCGGTATCGCGTTTAGAATGCTGTTGTACCAGATGACAGATGTCTTAATTCCACCTAAATATGCCTGCTCGAGAGTTATCCGCCGCTTTATTGGTTTCGTTCTACTTTGCGTTAGGATTTGGCTTGAAGGCATGCACAGCCCTCTGAACCAATGGGATGCAACACGGAAACTAAATGCGACTTCGTTAATCGCGTTTAATTTTTACTCGTACTTCAGAAAATTCGCTTGTTTTCACTTTGAGCTCTCATTGGCTCCTTAACCTTTGAACCCTTAAGAGTGACTAGCCTCTAATTTCTCCTTACAATATCACCCCTGAATCATGCAGTAAGGTCATGAGAATAAAGAAAATTATCAGGAACAAAAGAAGCTGTTGATTGTTACACAAATTCTTCTTGTGGAGAATACCTTTACTGATGTTAGGGTGTAACGAGTTAACAAATTTACCTTTGTATTAACTTGGGTGCTACGACACAAGGTGCTTACAACCAGGCCAAGAAATCCGGAAAATTTCGAGTTGAGGTCAAATGGTAAAGTTACTTTCCGGAAATTCCGTTGGGAAATTTTGGAAGACATATAGAGGTACTTCTCTTTTTTTTTCTTCTTCGGGAGGAACGGCGGAAAATACTTTACCACTTGAATGAATCTTCGGTTTCCAGATTAGAAAGGGGTGAAACACCTGATAATGGTACGCGTAATCTCATCGGTCGAATTCGGAAAATCGCGCTCCATTATACAACGGTTACACCGACCGGATTTTCAATGTTAAAAAGACCCATGAACAATGAGCGCCCTAAACCAAATTTAAGTCGTTTCATTACTGGTTATTCAACTTTATTACAACTATCATCATTTTTGTTCATCTTCACAAATATTATCCCCGTATACTAGAAGCAAACTGAATTGCTGTGACGAGTTATCGCCTAAAGTGTTCACGCTTTTATAACTTTTGAAGCTTAAGACGTTACGACGTACACTAAAAAGCCAAATGCAAGTGTCATAAAAATTAGAATGATTACTGATGCAGCACTGAACAGATGCCTGTAATTAAATAATCCGTACCAGCAGAGTATAAGAATAATTGCCAAGATAGGAAGGAAGAGCTTTGAAGGGTCCATTGAGAATATTAACCCTTCCTCATCTTGTCTACCCGAATGTTCCCCTGGTACCCTCTGTGCATCAGATATTTGGGCGTGGATCACGGACTGATCGGCGACTCCATAAAAAGAGACTGGAGCAGAGTCATCTTGAAGAAGTTTTCCGTTGTATATGAGACGCACCCTCATCCCATTGTTAAGTTCATTCTGAAAACATAACCTGTAAGCAAAAGAGAATAAGAACAATTTTTAACTGAGTTTCAAGAAAGTTATCTGGGATTGCTTTGTTTTCACATCACTTGCTCTGTGATTGCTCCAGAAAACTTGCACCAATCTCTAAACCAATCACAATCAAAACTAAAACCAATCATGGCTTGGTCACCCATGTTTCCCCACACTTTAAGCAATTTGGTAGGTTTTACTGTTAGATTTCATTGGCCCTTGACTCTTTAACTGCCAAGATCTCATTAGTAATTCTCCTTAGAGTCTGCCAAATGATTCTCATCATGTAAGTTTGGAGAACTTGGTATTAGATCAATTAGTAATCCCATACTTGATATTTTTCTTCATTCTCATCACTTGTCTTCATAATATTGTATAGATATAGTAAGGAGAAATTCTGTCTTGGTCACTCATGGGAGTTCAATTTTACTTTACCTTTTCAATTCTCCAACTGCTATACTTCTATTTACAGATAAATTCCTTTGATTCTCCATGAATTTGACACGGATTGATATAGGTTCTTCAGTGGGACCTTGTTGGCCACCAGCATCAGATGTGCTTTGAGTCGGTCCTCTCTGGCGCACTCTGTCATTCTCTGGTTGTGACGCTGACCTATCATGAGTATCATCATATAGTGGTGTTGTTGTTGTTTGACTGAGTCCAATATTCTCTGAGTCAACCTCTTGTGCTGATCCTAATGTCAATTAAAAAAGGCAATATAAAACCAAAAAAGGCAATACAAGACAATTTGGAAAGTCTGAGAAACCTCAAAGTGTATCACTTGAGGAACTTCTTTAAGCTCCCTTCAAATGCTACTTGATATTTACTTAATTAAATAATATCACATTTAATTCACCCTTAAACTACTAAGAGTGATAAGAATCTAATTTATCCCAAAAGTAACCACCCTGAAATAAATATTTAGGTCATTATAATAATGGAAATAATTGAGAGGTCAAGAAGCTCTTGATTATTGCGGAAATTCTTCAAAGTTGAAAAGTATCTGTTGATGTTAGTTTGAGAATTTGTCGATGGATTAACTATTAATCCCCTTATTAATATATTTTTCTTTATTCTTATCACATATCTGCATGGTACTGTACCTGATATTGTAAGGAGAAATTCTGTCTTGGTCACTCATGGGAGTGAAAGAGTTCATATTCTTAAATGCAACAACATCAAATGCTATTGACTGATTTAAAACAAAATATGCAAAAGCTGGAGGGGGGGAGGTTAATTCTCTCTGAGATTATATGTTTGGCTGCTATATGGACGCATTTTGATTGGTTCTTACTTATGATCTATTGGAGGAGAGATGCATAGATGACATTTCCATTAAACACATTTTGCTTCTTTATCATACAAAACAAATAGATTCCATATTGTCATGGGTCTGTGCAGTAATGGATCAAAGAAGACGTAAAGATATAGTAAGAAATAACATAAACAACAAAGTAAGAAATAATTATTCCAAGGAACCAAGGATAGTAACTGATATGCTAAATAAATTGGAGTGGCTATCTCTTGAATGGAGATGAATTCCCTCTTGATTATCGATGTTTCATTGCATTGTTTATCATACTGTTGATATCAATAAAGATTCATATCTAACTCCTTTACTACACACTTCAAGGAGTAGTAACTCCAAAACCTTCATAAGACCACATTCAAATTGCAATCAATATGCATACAGCTTTTTTCTGTGGTCAGTCAACCAATGGAATAGACTTGCAGGTGACTTTGTAAATATAGATGATAATTTAAAATTTAAGGCCACTCTACGCAACCATCTTATTGAAACTAGGAATTGGTTAAAAATTTCTCTTATCACATATATATATATTTATTACTAGTGTTAATTTATTACTTATATATTAATTATTTTGTTGTATTTATATTGATGTGATGCGTTGATACACTTAATCAATTAATGGTAGAAGTAGAAGTAGAATATCAGTGATACACTCGATCAGCTGTGCCTCGCGTGGTACCTTTCTATTCTTGCCACATGTTGATGTCATCTGTGACCTAACTACTGAACAGAGGAATGGCAACATAAAATCTACTTGTAAAATCGATAATCGATCTTGGCAAGATTTCCGTATCGTCCCTTCTTTCATTAAGCATGCGGTTCGTTGATAAAAGAAAACAAAGGCAATAGACTACGACAAGTACTATGGCTTTGTTTAGAGTGGTTCGGGGTTATACGGAAATCTTTCTTCGATCTTCATCGCTTAGGCCTACACACCCTGCTGAGCACCAGCTAGCAACTTGCAGTTGTGGCCTGCTGCTGCTTGGATGTTTAGGCGACGTGTACGCATATGGCGATACGAAGTTGAAAGTGCAGGTGTAAATAAAATTTCCTACCTTGTTCCTGACTTGTGTTCTCATCGGCACGATCAGTAGGGTGAAAAGAACCACTTTGGTTAGGATCTGACGAAATGTTTGATTCAAATACATGTTCTGTTGCGGTGCGATTCGTTGCATTTGAATTATACACCAAGTGAACTAAAAGCATCGTCAAAAGAGTCGCCAGAACGCTAACCACGAAAAGAACTTCATTATCAATTCCTTCGATAATAGGAGGTGCCATTAGTATGGCTTTTTAGGTATAGGATTGTGATAAAACCGAAAAAATTACAATAAGCTGTTCCGTTTAAAAATAAAACAAAAATTTCGCCCAACTTTTAACTACATAGGACATTTTGATCTAATCACATGACAAACTTCCTTTCCAAGTGTATGCTGGCTGGGAAGTCAAGTGCGGGCTCAAGCTGCGGACGTGCCAACCCCCGATTTGGACGCAAGGACAAACTGGTCTGCCCTCAGAGTGTTAGCATTTGTCATAAAATCCAGGTTGGAAAATTTAAGAATGATGATCCTTAAGAACAATCGCTGTAGCGTGATTTCCCTTCCTGTAACTTCTGGACAGACTCGTTGCACGGGATGGGTTGTCGTTTTCTAAACCAGTCTAGAAAACTGTTTCACAAGATCGAAATTAATGGGTTATAATCTGTTCAGCTAAATTACATTTTAGCCTTCGATCTCTAAAATCAAGTACACCTCTCCTGATTTCTGATTATTGAAATATATTTCTACAAGGTATATCGAATAGGTCGTCGAGTTTCAAATCGTACAGGCCTTTCACGATTGTATATGCATGAGCCTGGAACTCGAGAGAGCTCGATATTTTTGGTATGCAAATATTTTTCTGCATAACCTGCAAGTCTCCTTCGTTGCATTAGGATTACTTGGACGAAAACGGGTCTAAAGGAGGGGAATCGAGACTAAAGAGTCGGATGTAACGGTCCAAGAAAACCTTCCAGGGCATGGATCCGTTGTACGCATATTAATGATTTGCGATCATGATGAACTATTAGCTCTGAGATAGTTTGAAAGGGGTAGTCTTAATTGCTTTAATTAGCACTGGCCAAGGTTGTGTGGTCCATCTTGGTGACTCTGATCTCTCCTTGAAGTTTTGCTCATGGGTGACAAGTTGTGATTTTACTTGTAGAGAAAAATGAATCAACACATGAATACATATCTTCTACAAGTTGTAAGAGTTCTTTCAGTGCAAAAGGTCGTTAAAATCTTTACAAGCATATCACTGGAAATCATCTAATTTCCAATGAATCCCAGGAAATAAAAATCAATCATGGCTCTGAGAATCTGCTGATATTAAAACATTAAAATGGCCTTTAAATTACAGGTGATAAAGAACAGGACCAATAATGAATGTGGAACATGAAGTGAAACTTTTAGTGCAGGAAATGAAAAGACTTGGGAAACCAAATTCTGATGGCAAGATAACAGTCAAGTTTGGAGTGCTATTTAGTGATGATCGTTGTGCCAACATCTTTGAAGGTAAAGCAGACACATAAACTTTCTCCATACTCTTTCAAGTGAAGTGGATTTGTCTCAGCTGTTTTTTCATAAATTCTCACAGAAAGACTCCATTCTTATATTGTCTCATCACTCTCTCCCATTTCAATCAATCTTTCTCACAACATCCAGTAGACAAATAAATCATACTGCTTATTCACATGAGCACAGGACAGTATATGTGTCTATGTTGTTTCAATCTTATTTTATACTTTTACCCTTGTTAGATTATTGTCACTTTGATCTCCCCTGTCAGGTCCTGCTTCCTTCCAGAGAAAACTTTAGATTAAGTTAATTATCCAAGGAAAAGTGCAAACATGCTCTCATTTCTCAAAAAACCACAGCCACAGACCTCACCCATGAATAATAATTTTTTGTCATGATTGTATGAGATCATAACATCTTAAGAAAGATTTGAGCTCAGTACAAAAAAGTTCCCCAACATCACATAATATCTTCAATGTTCATGGTTATTTCTGAGTTTGACAATTGAAATCCTTTTTTTTTTTTTTTTTTTTTTTTTTTTTTTTTCACAGCCCTTGTGGGAACTTTGAAAGCAGCTAAGAAGAAGAAGATTGTGACTTATGCAGGGGAATTACTTCTCCAAGGTGTACATGATGATGTGGACATTATACTGCTGGTGGATGAAGAATAGCCCAAATAAGTCACTAAAAATATTTACAATTTTCAGGCAAGAGAATAGTTATTGATTTATTCACAAATTGAAAGGTTCTGAAATAAATTTTGTAACTTATCCTTTTGTAAAAATGAATTGTTTGTGATATTTGTCTTTATAACAGTCTGTTGATGACTCTGTTGTAGAGATGTGTATTTTACATACTAGTTAATTTTTGTAATAAAAATGTAATACAATCCTTTTTATTAAGGAAGTACTGAGTAATTTCATTTATTTTTCTCTGCATGTTGTTAACAAAATTCCCCCACTGAAACCTATCAACAAACCCTTGCATGAACCATTGTCTTAATTGAAGCAGTCACTTATTTTCCTAATGTGTGCATGTGAAGTGTTTATTGATAATTTATTATGAATGGTATTTATATGTACCTTTCTCTTGCCAATAACAACATTTCTACCAACAAATTGTTTGAAAATCTATTATCTATGAACAAATTACAAAATGGTTTTGTTCTTAGTAGTAACATCAATCTCCTGGCACACTTCAAGTACAATCTTCCATCTGGTTTTAAATTGTACTGTCATAAGCTAAATGCATTTTAGCATTTAAGCCTGGGGTTTGATGCCATGTAAAAGAAAGTCACTGAATGCCTTCTCTACAAATGAGCAGAACACAACACTTCATTTACATTATTTTCCACATTGATGAAGTTTCACTGCCGTTGCCAAAATTGTGTTAAATATTTGTAGCAGATTGTGGCTCATATTCATGCCAACACTATCATGGCAAGGTCAGATCTAATAAACCCTGTAGATAGGTCAAGTTGAAGTTCTCACGCATGGACTTCCCCAAAAAGGGAAGTACCTGAAAGTGGAGTAACTTGCCTACTCACAAGGAAATGTGTGTTGCTTTTAGTTACTGGCTCATTCATGTAGTGAGGCGTTTATGATGATCAGGTCACCCTTAAATCAGTAGCCCAACCTGGTGGTTTACTGTCATAACTAAAATATTCCTCAGCACTGCAGCTTGCTTCTGATGCCTCTTGGAAGCCACTCTCTCTATTTGACTGTTGGGTTAGTTCAGTGTCAGTGTCGTCACTGTAAGGGTTTTCAAGAAGCTTTAGAACTCTTCGAACCTGGCAGTAAATAAAATGGTGACAACAATGTTGAGAAAAGATGTTTTCAACTCAATCATTGACCAATTAACCCTTTTCACCCTAATATCACTGCATATTCTCCAAATTACTCCTATATACATTTCCTAACCTGCTAACAAGGAGACTTAGTTTGACAATCATGAGGTTCTTTAGTTGGTGATCATTTCCTTTATTCTTGCAAACTCCATGTTAGATTAAGGGGTGACATTGTAAAAAGAAATTGGATGCTAGTCACTCTTGGGGTTCAATGGGTTAGGATGCTCTACCACAGAGCTACATGTAACTTACAGTGGTTGGGCCACTTAATATCCTTTATACTGCTAAAGATTTCAACGTTCTCAGAAAATGAGAGCGGTTTAATTGTAATCATCATGATAATTTATTCCTTTATCTTTAAAAAGGTATATCTCTACTGTGCCTTATTGCTCTGAAAATCTGTTCTCCTTCAAGTTGGAGTAGGCTAAACTACCTTAATCACAATTGTATTGTTTTAAATTTCTCAGCTAGGTCTCAGCTAGGTATTTTTCATTCTGGTAACAGCAGCTTTAATTTACCTCTGTAAAGTCTCCCTTCTCTGCTGCAGAAATGGCATTTTGAGCAATATAATTCCTGAGGATAAATCTGCAAGAAAAAATATGATAAGATATAAGATCTGATATAAGAGCTGGCGTGTAAAGAAATCATTGTCATGGAAACAGGAAGTAGGAGCCAAGTTAAATGAGGGCAGGAAAGGGTATGGGAGGGGGGGAGGGGGAAGAGAAATGGGCAAACACATTGCCGTGAAGAGTGGGAAAAAATGCCTTCATTTGTGGATGATACAAGCCATAAAGAGCAGGAGATGGGAGTTAAAGGTACAGGAGACAAGGAAGCAAGGTATGTGGAGAAGGAGACTCTTGTATACAATAAAATGATTTAAGGTTGGAAAATACATACACCTCAAGGTAGAAGCCACTAACAGTAGGGAAGCAATCCTTGTTTCTATTGTTAACTTGTGAGAAATGAATAACTCTTTTTTCCCCACAGGTCATAAAACACAGCTGAATGACTCATTTGATATCCCTCTGGTAACAAAATAAAGTTCAGATTTACCTTGGATTATTAGATTTCATTGTTTCAACTCTCTCCTTGTTTGCCTAAAAAGAAAATAAATGAATAAATAAAAAATTTTTAAAAAACTATAAGAATCAGAGGATGATTTGATAACTTGTGGGGCTTTAAACTGTCAACAAAATTGTGCATCAAATCAAAATGATAATCATGATAGAGTATGAAAAAAAAATTATAGCTCTCAATTTTACAAGTTAGATGAAATAAAAGCGCAATACATTTTGCATGAACCTCAAAGGCAAAAAATTATCTCAATTTTTTCAATCACTTATGATTATTTACAACTTGAATGTTTCATACTTTCTCATGATCTGGTCCATTTTCAAAATCTGCATTAAGACGCAACCTGAAAATAAAAGAAAACAACCACAGTTATGATTAGCAAAAGGTAATTACTTTTAGTTAATTGTAATTATTACATTACCTCAATCTTCTCCTTGCATCAGCAAGTACATGCACTTGTTAACCATTCAATTATCCAAAATTCAGAGAGGTAGTGGACTAGTGTTAACTAAAGCACACTCTGTTCCTGATAAAAGTGCATGGATTTGTGCCTTGGCCAGGGTCCTAATTACATTGAATGTGTTGTGATCTAAAAAAATACACTTGACTTTTATTATACATCTCTAGCTCCACTCGATTGGATAAATAGGCACCAGTGGGTTGTCACAGAACACTATCAAACTGTTGGAAGGTGAATAGGGTGGAGAGGGAGGGGGCAGGGTGGAATAGAAATGGGGTAGGATGGAGAGGGATGGGGTGGGGTGCCATCCAAGAACATGATATGTGCTTGTAGCTTTTTTTGATATTATGATCATAGTCATTCAACTTCAGAATTTGCCTTATTGTTACTGTAAAGCTCTAGCTTCATAATGCCCCTGTAGAAGTAATCCAATCCCTCAGTCTTGTCTCAAAGACATTTTTACTGTCAGTTACCATTCCAATTTCCTAACGTTGTATCTGTCAGGAATAATTTCACTCCAAACTCTACTCTAATTTGTTAATTCATATTTGATCCTTATGCTAAACTTAGAAAACAATAATTTACTCTGTACCTGTATTGATCAATCCAATCTTTCCACAGTTGCCTGTCTTTGCCTCTCTTTTCATCAGGTTTTAACTCCTAAAATAACAAATAAGCAAGAAAAAAAAAAGTTATCAGTTTTAAGCAAATTAAATTATAACTAATTAATAAAAATAAATTAAAATTTTGACTCAAAGAAATTAAAATACTGGCCAGGGGTGAGTGGGGCATCTTACATTCATCTGCTGAACCCTCTCTCTCCTTTCTAGCTCCTTTTGAATCAAAGATGCTCCATTTCCTAATTGCTGCAGGAGACTGGGGCTAGTCTGAAGAAGTGTCATCAGCATCTGAAATTCTCTAATTTAAAAAACAATTAGTTTCCAAAAGCCCCCTCTGCAGCAACAGCAAGCATAATCTGTAACTACATGGCTTAAGAAATGAACTATTATAAAAATCTCCATTCAGAAGGAAATGTGTTCAGGAAAAAGTATAAAAAAGTTCTAGAGAGCTGAAAAATCTCAAATCAGTAACAACCCTTACAGCTCAAATTTGAATGAAAACAATCCCATAAGCGATGGCTTTTTAAGAAACAAAAAGGATTACTTAATGTGATAAAAGTACCTAAACATACCTTGCCCCAAGGAATGGTTTTGAAGCTTTCTTCAAGTCATCCACTGTTTGACACTGGGACAATAGGTACTCCAGAACATTTTCATCACTACGTAAAAAGAATTAATAAGGAATATTTAATTTCAGATGGACAATCCAAGCTAGCATGGATTGGCTGCAAGCTAAAAGGAAAAAAATCTAATATCATGAGTTACAGGAGCTACAAGGCATACAATCACAAATAGGCCCATCCATGTCACTAACTACTTGGAGACAGTGAGAACCTACCTGTCATCGCCTTCAGTGCTACTTAGCAATGAGATTCTGTGGAGGCATCTAAAACAATTGGTAAAATCAGCACCTGGAGAGAGAAAAAAGTTTTGTTTACCAGAAACCTTCTAAAACAAAGTAATTCTCTCTGCGTTCATTCACCAAAAAATAAAATGTTTTGTGACCTGTCTTGTGCATAGTTTCCAAAAGACTTTTCACCAGATCCCTGTGAAGCAATTTGAGATATCAGATTAAGTGAAAAGTACACATGGTTTCTGGCAGTAACTGACACTATTTATACTTGGTGATCATCAAGATGTCTGAAATCTGATTATTCAAGCATTATATCATATCTAAACCATCCACTGCAATAAGATTTGAAAATGACGCAGTCATCCCTAAAAATGGCCAGTTTTCAAGAAAAAGCATACATTTACCTCACTGAATGAAATAACATACAGTATGTTACTCTTGACTAGGAATCAACTGTTGTGAGCCATCAGCAAGAAGCATGATTTATTCTTCTCAAACTCAATCATAAAAGATGAATTACCATTTGACAATATTACATTAACTATGTTAAGCTCACAGCTACACAAACATAATTTAATGTTAAGAAAATTATACAGTGGAAGTGCAATGTGAATATTTCTTACCATCAATAGTACACATAAATAGTTCAAAAGAAATTTAATTAATAACAAGTACTTACTCATCCTCTGGTAGCTCTCTTTTCAATAAGCCAAGCTAAAAAAAAAATTAACAGGTGAATTGGTTTCAAACATGCTACCTGGGATGTTCAGTCCACATTTTTTATTCTTGTTCTCGTCACTTAAAAATACATAAACCCTTTAAACCCTAAGGGTGATCAACATCTAATTTCTCCTTACAGTAATACTGCTAAACCATTCATTAAGATCATGAGAATAAAGGATATGATCACCAACATCAGAAGCTTTGATCATCAAATGGATTCTTCTTTTCAGAACCAAAAGAAACATATGGAGAAGAGTATGAAGAATATAGATACTGATGTTAGGGTATAAAGGGTTAACTAGCACATTCTGAACCTACCTTTAGTCTCATTTTATTCATATAGGTTTGCTTGTACTCCACATCATAGCTGGAAAATGATTCATTAACAATATAAGTGTGAGAGTTAAATTCACATGATGAAGGAAAAAATTCTAAATGATACAATGAAGCAAAATAAACATTTGACTGTCTCTTATATGTATGTTCGATACTTACATCTCTTCCACAGCAGCCTTTGACCTTTCCAAAGGAAGTGCGTCTTTAATAGCCTCTCCTAACTTGAACAAATTCCACTTGCAGATCTCAGGTTGAGCCTCATAGCGATACCTGCCTTGGTCATCTATCATAAGAAATTTTAAAAAATCCTGAATGATAAGCTTTCTATTCTCCTCAACTACAAGCAGTCCTTCCTTTTCAGGAGAGTCTGAAGCACGAGTAAAAACAAAAATCCATGAGAAAAATTGATGTTAGTGGGCTGCATGGAACTATGGGAGTGAGGTGTAAGAAAATAATTCTATGCAGCACATGTAAATCTTTTTTTTTTTTTTAATTTTTTTTACTTATGTGAATACAAATACAAAGTAATACCTGATGCATTGCAGACATGCTCAGGATCATAATGATCCATAAATCCGAATGGACCATAATCAATTGTCAAACCAAGAATACTCATGTTATCTGTGTTAAGCACCCTGGGAAGAAAATGATGAGATTCTTTTCAGATAGATAGAAGATAAACATGAAAAGTAAACTTTAAGACTTGGTGTTGACAAAAAATCACCCTTACCCATGACAAAATCCTACACACTGCCACAGAGCCACAAGTCTTGCAGTAAGCCTAACAACTTCTGTGAAGAAAGCAAAGTATGTCTCCTCCCTGTCATCTGTGACCACCTATGGAAAAAAAAGTGTGACAAACTTTTGGAGTCCAACTTAGCATAAAGTCTCTGCTAGGCTCACCCTAGGTGGTGAGCGGTATCCAACAGTTAATATCACTCACCAACATCACTCCACAAGATTAAATAACAAATTTGTTCAAACTTCTAACAACTATTAAGATAAACCCTTAAACTCCCACGATCTAATAATTAACTCTCCTCTCTATCTGCTACACATTTCCTTGAAAATTAATTTCAAGAAATTGTTGAAGGTCAAGATGACAAGTTCTACCTAAAAAGTTTGAGTATTCTTATTACATGTTTGCTGGATAATGTATGAATACTGTAGGGAGAAGTTACATGTTAATCTCCCAACATAATCAAGTGACTATACCTGTGGGAAAAATGTTTGAACTGTATAATCAAGAAGCTGAGTAAGAATATCTGTACGTCCCTCACTTGGGCCTTTACGTCCAGTCATTGGGTCTGTTGGTTTAAATATCTCAAAAGAGCCAAACCTTCCGATCAAATGAAATTAAAATAAGATAAGCATGTAACCCAGGTGATGAACATCTTAACAACTTGATAAGAATTTTAAAACAACCAAGACAGTCTGAACTCTGCACAAACACACTTATTTAACATTACCTGATAAATGTTGGGGCAATCCTTAGAATAATGGTACATCTTTCCCTGATAGGGTTTCCATCATAAAATATGTCTCTGATTATCCTTGTATCCGAAGTCACACAGCTACCAGCTGCAAGTAAATAGATATCAATTCCATAAATTAGATATTAAACAAAAACTTAACCTGAAATGATTTACCCCTCTCCCTTTTAAGCTTGATAATGAAATTATCAAGAAAAAAAAAATGATCACAAAAATGTTTAAAAGACTCCCACATTACCTCTTGTGGTTGGAATTCCTAAAAAGTACATTGCCTACATAAATACAAAAGAACATTTCAGTACTGACTTGATTAAAATTATTTTTCTTACATCACATTAAGACTAATAAAAATTTTGTGGTAATACTCTTTTTAAACATTTGTCTTTTTTTAGAGGGCTTATGCTACTGACAACAGTACTGTATGTTTCCAGCTATATTCAATAATGAAAGAATTGTTCAAGACATTTCACAATTATTTGTTAGTAATAATAGTATTGTTCATTATTACTACACAGTAATACTGTTTTTACATTTTCTCAAAAATCAGGTCTGTCCTTGCATGACAAGCAGCAAGAAAACTCTAATAATTATAAAAACTGTTCTTTGAGTGGCAATACATGTATATCATCACATGATAATAAATTAAAGTTGTAAATTTCTCATCATTTATATATCATCACCTCACTACAAAGAAATTCTCGTATGCTGGATCGCAGCACTTTTCTGCCATCTGCCTGTCTGGAATATGGCGTGAGACCAGCACCCTTGAACTGCATCTCCCACCTTTCTCCTCTCCCATTCACCACCTCACCAAGATACCTGAAATACAGAAATGATAAAATAAAGCAATGACCAAACATTAAAGAATGGATTACATAGTTAATAAACAAACAGATGGACTAAAGGATATACAGACGAAACAACTAGGAATGAAAAACATCGCAGGAATAAGTCAACAAAACAATTAATCTCATGTAAAACTGCAAATTTTGGTGAAAATCTCTCATACATCACTCTGGCTGAATTTCTGTCCCCATGATCAGTCCCACAAATTTGTAGCTACACTATGGTACCAAATCTCTCGCAGAGACAAAGATTAACCATGCCACACAAGACACATTGTAAATAACTTTGACTTGTCCTTTGGACATGTCAAGGGCAACTTGTATAGGCAGTAAAAATTTAAGGAAAGGCTTGATGATTTGGGCCCTGTCAGTGTGAATTATTGGCAAGTACACATACCTGCCTTTCTTTGAGTTTGCATTGGAATGTTTACAGAAATTGTGAACATTTAATAAATCAATTACAAATTATAATAAAGGAAAACCAATACAATCCCAGATTACACTCTACACTTGATAGAAAATTACATAACAGATAAAGGAACAAAAAATTGTGTGTCTCACTATTTAGAATCACAAATAATTGATTAAGATATTTTGCTGATCTTAGCTATTAATAAATAGTTAGGGGGACTGAATAATACAAGTTCATATATGTAATATGGTGATTTGTATGTTGTTATTTGTTTATCTTGGTATAACTTGTATTTGGTAATTGTAAGCCTTGTTAATGTTATAGATGCTGTTCCCTCAGTGTTCAATTTTAGTCATGGCTTCTATGAACAGGGTTCATACCCTTTTTCAGAAACATTTATTTCAAAAGCTTTTCCAGGACTCAGATTTTCCAGGACCTCTAGTCTATTTCCAGGACTTTCTGGTCCTGGAAAATGTCAAAATAAGATTCCAGGACTTTCCACAAACACTCTATAAACTCTTTTATGTCTTCAACTTTCAGGAATGTGAAAGAATTGCTAAATTTCTCTATAAACTTGAAATTCAACAGGCATAGAGTACATAATTATAGAGTGTTACCAACCCTCATCTAACAGATCATCTAAATCTAACAATGTAAGCCCATAACCGCCAACCCCCTGCCTCATACCCTTAAAAAAAACTTGATTACATCATCCGACAGGCGGTGTTTTTGAGGTCATGTTATTCTGATCAATATCTCAACTTACATAGTCGCCCCATCCCCTAGCTGACCAGAAAAATATCCGAACTGATGACCGCAATAGCAATGAGCTGATGGTTCCGCGCCAGGTAATATCTTATTTCCACTGAAAAATTCTGCGAAGTCATCTCGCTGTAACTCATCTTCTGATAAATCCAACAGAGACATTGCACTGCTAGAAAAAGCCACCGTTGAGGGATTTTCCACCGGAGTTGGCTCAACACGAGAGAAGCATGCTCCTGAAACCTGCCTTACGTAATTTTTCAGCTCCTGGTCAATTGGCAACGACCTCAGCGCTAAGTTGTCCATGTGAAGAGTTTCCAAAGTTGCCATTTTGAGTCCAAATTTCAATGATCCCTCTGAGCTTGTGGAAATAAAATGCTTCAAATACGAGGTCAAGGTAGAGCAACAAGTTTTCCCTCGATGAACATAACTACAATTATTAAAAACACAAGATGACAACAATTTTCGTGGTAAAATGTAGCAACTCATGGACTAGACATCGGTTTGTTTTGTTAGAATGGCTGATGGTTCTGGTCGGTCGGAAATAAATCGTTTATGATCGGAAGAAAGCGTTATATTTCCGATTATCATCGGTAATTGCCGTGCCAAATGAGAGGGGTTGGTAACAAGGATTGAAAGCGTGACTTCAGTAAGTCCGCATGCTGCATCAAACAGGCTTGTTCGTTTCGAGTTGCTCTGTGGATATACCGTACAAAAATGGGTGAAGTCAAGTAAGAATATAGCTTTACCAACCAGTTTTGTTTTGGTATGCAAGAGTGCTAAATATTTTTTGATTCTGATGCTTCAGCACACTTTCTCCGTCGACGAAATGGGCACAGCGAAAAGACAAAATCTTCCTTACGATCGAACTGGCCGATTGTCAAAACCCAGACATAGTCCTCAAATCCGATACTTTACAATTCAGGTAAGGCGTTAGCTGTTAAAATTTTATTTGTTGTGGTTTAAAGTGTTCGTTAGGTAGCCGACTGATCGTGGTCTTTCCTCCCGACTGAAGGAAAATTATCGTAAATTGTCCAGCGCAAAATTAGAGCAATTTATTTAGCTGCATTTTGTGATCATAGGTTGTCGCTTGAGCTTACTACACAGCTTCAAGCCGGCAATTTCGTACTTTTGTCCATATTCGGTACAATAATCTAACTGTTATGATCCTACATCCACAGTTCTAAAGGAGGAAAAGATCAAAAAACATATACGTTGAATCTAGAATTCTACGGCGAGGTTGACCCAGGGGTAAGATAAGACTATGGTAGTTGTCACTCCAATATAATTAAGTTTTAAGTTATTAAATTTCACGTCGCTTCACTGTTTCCAAGAATTTGGGCGTGATGGACCTTATAAGGAAAACTCCAAAGTGTGCCTTAGCCTTAAAATTTTGTGAGCAGTGGTAATAAGCAACACATTCGAAGCTTAATTAAGTTTGTTACCTCTTTCTAGCTCTGTAAGTGATGCATATTCTCAGGAACAGCTTCCAACGTAAATACCCCCAAGGGACTGTCATGTCCAAAGGGAGATTTTCCATTTATATCTGACATTAAGTTGGGTAAGAATGTTCAGAATTGGTGGACAGTAATTTTTTCTTCATTGTGACTTCTATTTCAGAAATCAAAACAGCATATAACTGCAAGGGAGCTCTCTTTTTCTCTCGCAAAGAAAGAGGAAGGTCCCTATTGGCCAAAACTTCTCAAAGATGCAAAGAAGGTGAGCTTAAAATAGTTCAGTTACAGATAACAAAATATACGAACATTTGGTTAGAGCAACAGAATTCCTTTTTGTTTGTGGTATGTTGGCCTTTATTTTTCACTAAACTCATGTTGATGTTCTATGTGATCCCTGTGTAAGCCCTGTTGCACTTTTCCAGCATGGAATCTGCTTGCTAAGTATAAAAATTAAAAAGACTAACAAATTCCAGTAGCAGTGGTGTCATTAATATAGGTTTGTCCTGTGATAGATCTATTCCAAGTTGTTGAAGGAGTATAATGGATAACAGATGATGCTTTTCACTGGATAAATTTCTATCCAGTGGATAGCGCAGTGCATTTTGTTAACACTTAATCACTGGATAGTGTTACCCACCCTTTGACCAACTGGTCCCAGAAGTTGAAACTTATCATAGTCATAGCTCTTGCCCAGACATATGAAAAAGAAAAGAAAAGCTGACAGAGATTTCCTTTCGCAAAAATGCATGGGCCTTAACCTTTTAACCCTTAGAGGGACTAGCAATTCTTTGCTTGTAAAAGCATTACTGCTTAACCCTTTAACTCCCAGAAGTGAATAACATAAAACTTCTCCCTACAATATCCATACGTGCTTCAGCAAACAGGTAATGAGAATATTCAAACTTATCAGGTAGAAGCTGCCATCTCAATCTAGCACCAAGATCTCATAAATAATTTACAAGGAAATGTGTAGCAGCTACAGGGGAGAATTAACAATCAGATCTTGGGAGTTAAAGGGTTAATTAGACTTTTAATGATGGAAATAATTGCCAACAAAATAAAATCTTGATTGTTAAACAAATCCTCCTTATAAGACAATTAGAAATATATAGAGAACAGTGTGGAGAAGATACATACTGATGCCAGGGTATAATAGGTTAAGGTATAGTGTGTGACTGTAGAAAACTGCCATAGACCTACTCAAAAATGGTTTGAGTGGAATGTAAGGATCTAGATGTGGAGAATTTTAAAAATTGCTTTGCAATACTGGGTAATGGACAATGTTTGATTGCACATCTGGGTTAGTCCAAACTTGTGAATAAAAAATAATGATGATAGTAAAGATCATGACAATGAAGTTTACTTTTTAAACAAAATTAGATATCAAAATTAGATATCAAAACTAGATACTAGCCACTAGGCAACCAATCTGATCTATCTAGCACTAGAATCTATCATGTCTGTCAAAATAACTTGAGTATAGAGAAACTTTATTTTTGCCTTGTGATTCCTATTAAACATTTTGATGGTCTTGCAGCCAAGTTTTCTTCATACTGATTTTAACAAATGGAGAGATGAGGATGACTCAGAGGAAGAAGACACAGGAATGGATGATGATTTTGAAGCTGTAAGTTACAATAGCACCAAGTCAAACATACATCTGCTGTGTGTCTGTTCAGTAACAGATCACAGATGACATCAAAATGTGGTAAGAAGAAAAATAGTGACTCAAGGCACACGGCCCAGTGTGTCACATTTTGATATCTTCTGTGATCTATCAATACTTTGTGGACCCACAGCAACATGAAATGCTTTGTTTTGTATGATTATAGAGAAAAATGCTGTTAATGGTGAGGTCGTTTAATTTAAAAGATTCAATATTTTTGTTTGGTTCAATTCACAGATGATGAGTAAGATGGGAGGACATGGTGCAGGTGCAGGTGCAGAGGTAAAGTTAGAAGGATTTATAATTAGGTTTTTTTTTATTTGAAAAAGGAAGCATTCAAGCTGAAATATTTTTGCAACCACTCAAAGAGCATAGTGAATCAAAACTAAATGAATTCAGAATCATTTTCAGATTTACACTCTGCTACATACTCATTTAATTGGCATTGTTGTTCTTTAGAGCTTTGATCCAGGAGATGTAGATGGGTCAGAAGACAGTGACGATGAAGGTGATTCTTTTGTTCCTTCTTCATAGCATTATTTGTTGTTCGGAAGAAATTTCTCAACCCTTTCACTCCAAGGTGGGAGGTGCGGTGCAGTGGCTTAGCTAATGATTGGTGAAGAGGTCTGGGTTTACGACCTAGGGGCTGTTTCTTGAAGGTTACAGTAACTTAATGGGCCTGTAAAGCTGTTCAATTTTCCTTCAAGAGGTTTGAAAATTCTTCAATAAAACTAAAAGTTAAAGAAAGGAAATGGACTAGTTACAGTGCCAGAACCTGCTTCTCTAATCTTTGAAATTTGATCTCAAAGTATGACTTTAGGCCCATTGAGTTACTGGGACCCTCTGCCAGGTCATTGTGTCATGTTATTCGGCAATGAGACTTTTATTGTGTCTCTCTCCACTCAGAGGTATAAATGGGTACTGGCAAATTGTCAGGGAAGCCTGATGGAATGCTGGAGGGAGTGAGTTAACTTGGAATGGATTACCATTCCTTTCAGGGGGATTACTCATACTTCTGGTTACTTCATGTTACTGAATTGCGATGAGATCCAATTGGATGGGCCACTTTTGCTTGATAAAAAATTTAATCTTTCACTCCCATGAGCTGCTGAAAAGGAGTTTATCATCACAGTAACCATAGATTGTCAAGCACAAGGTGATGAGAAAAATTAGGAAGAAAAAAAGGCTGGGAAAATGGATGACTGCTCAAGGGTGGATTGACTGTATATGCACAAAGTAGTGGTCATGAGAAACTTATCCTAACAATAACTGTTTTCATATTTCAGAACTACCAGACTTGGAGAGCTGAGAACGATTTAGTTTGACTGTATAGAGAATTTAAATAGTTCCTGTGGAGATGGCCCTATCATCTAACCGCTTGTAGTGGCATGTTCTCATTTCATGCTGCTGTGATTTTGCTCCTCAGTGGGACATGAGTCCATTGCTTTTATCAGTTGTTTAAAATGCAGTCCATGTCAGAAATAAATGTGTTGCTTGTTATTAAAGAAACAAAGTCCCTTGTTTGCGACTTAGTACTCTTTATCCTCTGAAACTATTCACAATGTTTCCTCAGGTTGTTGATATTCATTGCAAAATGTAGCCTTAGTGCAATTTGGAATAAATAAGCACGAGTAAATTTTTTTAATGACTAACAAAATTGCACTAGCCCGTAGGGCGAGTGCAATTTGTGGTCTTTGAAAAAATTAACAAGTGCTTGTTTATTCCAAATTGCACGAGAAAAATCATGTGATTACGTGTTAATAATATACATGGAAAAATACAAGATGGTCTATCATAATTAAACATAAGCAAAGCACGCGCATCAAGTGCAAAAATAATTTATTCAAACTGTGCGTTCGGTCAAAACAACTGCGTACGATCAAAACAATAATATGCAACGATATCTTCACATCTTTAAGGTGCAAAAAAGTTCAAAGTCCGGCTAAACAGTTCAAGGAATTGTTCAGTCTGTGTCCAAATCACTTTTGATGAAATGGAATTGTCGTTTCCGAGGTTTAACCATGTTTGTTTTAAATTTTGGCGTTGAATCGCTCGAGCAAAGTATTAAGCTGGGTCAGCTCGTAATTTTCGATTTCCTCAGCAATTCCCTGCTCTAAACACCACTTTTTCCAAACGGACAACCAAAAAAACAGTGCTTTTTACAATGTTTTTGTTGTTTAAGCTGTTTTTCAGCTGTGGTGGTGAGAGAAAACCTACTTAAAACACCGGCCATTGTTTCGCTTGCAAATTTTCAAGTTTTGTTGCGACATCCAAGGCTCACATTTGATTGGCTATCTGCAAGTTTCTTTGATTATTGACCAATCAGAATGTCTGATTTGTTTCTTTCTTTGCACTGAATTAACCCTCTTCTGCATTGAATTAACTCTCTTCTGCACTGAATTACCTGAAAACTGCATTTGTTATAACCAATCAAAACTGAGTAATTTTTCCATGTATATTATTATAATCCATAAATTTTTTTGCTTTAACGCAATTGGTCTAAATGCATCTTGTGACTGAATATGCTTGTGCTAAAACTGAGGAATATCTGATGGTGTTCCCTCAGAGATATTCCTAGTTTTCAAAATTTGAGTCAATTATGGATAAAATATTCAAAACTTAATTCAAGACAAGAGGGCATTTTGTTGCTGTTACAGAAGGAATATACTTGTTTGTTTGAAAAGTTGTATCTTAAACATTGAAAAGTGGGCATTCCACACAATACTTAAAAAGCTTTGACAGTTAGGAGAAAGTACAGGGGATCAGAATTATGCACATTACAGCTGGATAGGTGGGGAATTAAAACTTTGTAAACTTTATGAAGGGACTAAGCAGTTAACATGTATCTTGGGAATGGAGTGTTGTAAGTTTAGTGAAGTCTGAAAATTTACACAAATTCTTGTCATTTTATTTTCTGAAAATATATCATTGTGAAGCAACAGCTGGAAATCTTTCATGACCAAAATTTTTGAAGATTGCAGTAGATACACAGCTCCTTTGCTTCTTGACTTTGTGGTGAAGCCCCTTGAAATGAAAAAGCACACAAACAAACAAAAAAAGCACATAAACAAAGCTGACAATTGTGGTTCTGAAGCATGTAACTAGCAGTGAGATGAATGCAAAGTATTCTTTCTGAAATAATTTTCTTGTACCCTTTATCTCTGGTAATAGTTGACAAAAAGTGTAACATTTTGTAGAACCAGCTGCACAAAGAAATGTACAGTTACTCCAACCTTTTTTAGTTAATTTTGTCATGACAGCAATGGGTTCCATGTATATGTTGCTGATGTCTTAGTAGAGTCCAACTAACTTAAATTATAAAATAACTGAGAAACAATAGGCACCCTAGTTGGTCAGAATACTATCCTTTATTGCACCTTTAAAAATTGAAGTTAGGAAAGTTTGCTCATCACTTGTCTCTGGCTTGTGATCCATAAACCTTCTCATGTTCTTCAGCAATCTGTGTGGGTTATTACACCAGCCAACCAATAGCCAATAGTACTGTTCATTGCTTATAAAAAAGTACTTGATATTTCTCTATGTAAATTAAATTAATTGATTATTTTACTTTCCAAAAAGAAGTTGTGGCCTGTGTTACTGTAACTACTCACCAGACCATTACAGTTCTTTTAAGTTCATTTCAATTAATTATTGACATCCAGGCATTTTAATATCCACATACTTTGACATTTGTATCGAGAAAAACTTTCTGATTTCTGAAATTGTACTTGACAACAGTACCACATTTTCATTCTCCTTTCTTTGAAAATTTTAAAGTGATAAGATGAAGAAGATGCTGTTGCTCAGGATCAAGGTAAGTCCATAGTTCTTTCTCTAGCTCTTTAAGAGCATCCACATCATGCAACTGACATACCATCACCACTGACTGAAGCAACAGGAAGAGATCTTTATTCATGTAATCCACAGGGTTTTCAGCAGGATCTGAATCCTCTGAGTACTTCTCAAGTATTTGAGCATGCTGAGGACGAATTCGCTGTGGTGTTGGTTGAAGTAACATTAACAGAAGAACACGTCCAATCTCACAGTGGGCTAAAATCTCTTGGTATGGTCCCTTTAACTTTCCCTGTTGGCTCATGGTTCCTCTTTCTTCTGCATGGTAAGCCATTTCAGTTAATACAGACAAGGCACCATCAAAATCACCTGTGTTAAGCAAATAATGATAAGGAATTAAGATTCAAGTGAACCTTTCAAAATAATTACTTGTGTAACTGATGGTAAAGTTTTGCCTGCATACATATAAATTTTTTATTTTCCAGGAAATGAGAGCAACTGTTAAACCTTTTTTGTTGACCATTTTTACAAACATTTTAACAAATTATTCAATGAGCATATGTTCCCACAAAGTCTAGCATGATTCTTGAGGCCATAGCCTTTGGAAAAGAGGTGTACTTGTCCTACAAGATATCCAATCCCCCATACTATACTTTTTTTAACTTGCCTGTATCAATTTTACATGAGGCTACCAAAGTCATTGACTGCAGGGCATCAATGGGATTCTGATGCTGTAACTCAGCAGCATGTTGATAATGGACCATAGCTTCATGGGGCCGGTTCATATGTCTCAAGGCATCGCCTATTTCTAGGCACAAACAAGCTCCTAGCGCTGAATTACCCTGGGCACAGTGAGTTTTAATAGCCTGATTGAAGAGATGTATAGCTTCAGTCAAGTGTTCCTCGAACGCTGGACACCTCAACTCCACGGAATTTTTCTCTGCTTCTAAAAACAGACGTGCAGCTTCAGTAAGCGCCTCGACTTCCCCCGTTCCATTAGACAGCGTATTTTCACATCTCGCCTTGGCAAGACTACAGAAACCAGCATATTGTGGACAGTCCTGTCGTTTCAACTCCTTTGCAAGAGCACCAAACTGACCACTTGCCTCAGAGACATTAGGTTTTTTCAGAAAACGCCTTTTTAGCTTCGCAGTAATCGCACGGTATTGTCCTATCACGTCAAATTCACGATCCATTGCTAAGTTATCACAAATCTCCCTAACTTAAAAAGTCAGCCATCATGTTGATTATTATTTTACCCGTAGGCCTTTGCGTGAAACTTATAATTGTATACTTGGCCCCAGTTTAACGCGTCCATTATGGCGGAGATGTACACTACTTTCTTGCGTTGTATCTGTTCTTTTCTACACAAATCTATGACTGTGTAGGATTGTTATTCGCATTATTATTTTTTGAGAATAAATCACATGGAGGAGCCAAAGCCACTAACATCGAGGAAAAGAAAACGACATGAGTAAGTGCCTCTAATTCACCTCAACAGCGCAGTAAACTCGATACCACACGTGGTCGATTGAACAAGAAATAGGAGAATGTAACTTGGGGTAAAGAATGGCAATTAGATTCAGGAATAACGCTCATTGTCATGTGGTCCAATGATATGATTATTAAAGGATACGCATAATCATACAGGTAGCCAGGTATTTTAACCTGATTTCATGTATATTCTCATACAATTATTTGTTTTTGATAACAGTTGGTGGGCCAAACATAGACCTAAGGAAGGAAAAGTTCTGAAGAAATCTGGTACGCTACGTAGGCTCTTGTTTCTTTCTTGTTACCCTTTGTACTTTGCTCAATTTTTTTAGAACCAGCATTTTGTTACTGCAGCTTTTACATTGCCATTGAAGTTAATTTACAGAAGAATCAAACTGGTATTACGTCTGGTGACAGCTTTCTTGATGATGATCATTGTTAAATTTTGACATAATTTCCACAACTGTATGTAATTAAGTGGTCTTCATTTTTACAATGAAGGATTTCATCCCTTAAAAGTACATACTAAGGTGATATTGCCATCATCATTGGTCCACAAATCCTTTGCCATATTCAGCACTGACGCAATGATTATGATGACAAAAGCAATTTTATGATTAAAGTTTCCTTCCAGATGTAGTATGGTTTACTTGAGACAATTGTGTAAAGATGTATTTTTTCTCTTTTTTTGTACGTTCATCTCTACCTATCCATATTATTACTTAAATTAATTCTTTATTTAATAATAACTTTATCTTTTAGACAAAACAGATAAGCCAGTTAAGACCCCAGAGAAAAAGAATCAAACTTCTGAAGCAACTGGAGAAGAAAATGAACAAGCTATTGATAAACTTGATAGTAAAGACAAGAACAAAAGATACATACTTTTTATTGGTAGGTGTAATGAAGCTGTAATTTAACTTAAATACAAGCATGCTATTCAATTGATAATCTTTCAATAATTGTACTCCAATGTTTTTAATATTTATTGAGCAAGTCAACATTTGGCATCATACACTTCTGACTACATGGTACATGTAGCTACATCTTGTGACAACAATATTTGCAATTAAATTTGTACAACAAGTAACTTTGCCCTTTGTTGCTGTGAGTATGTTCTTACCAGCAACAGAAATAGCCATGACTTGCTAAACTTTAACTCTTTTTTGAAAAAATTCATCTATGACTTGGACATAATTAGTTATAATGTTTTTTCATTCCTCAATTGTCTCAAAAGGAAACCTTCCCTTCTCAGTGAAAGAGGAACAAGTTAAGAATCATTTTAGATGCACAGGTAATTTAATAATATTTATTTGGTCACAGATTCAAATGGAACTTACTGTTTTGAGACAGGGTGGTGTGTTTTTTTTAACTGTTGATGATATAATTTTTAACTTGATAGGTTTTTTTTTTTTATCAGCAGCCTTATGTGGTGTGAAAGTTTTTGTTATTAAAAACTTGGATCAATATCAGTATCCGGGCAACTGCCCACCTACCCCTCCCCTAACTCAACAACAGTCAATTGGTGGTAGGTGGGCAGTTGCCTAGATACTGATATTGATCCAAGTTTTTAATAACAAAATTACCATTTTGCTAATGATGGGCAGGAATTTAAAGTCATTGACAAAAAAGGAATTTTATTCAAGGAGGGCCCTGAGTGAAACAGCAAAACATTTTCATCACAGCAGACGAAAGTGTGCAAGTATTAGTGATAATAAACAGCTATTCTGTCTGTTTGTCAATAGATAACATTACAGAATTTCGACTCATGACCAAGAAGAGTGGAGAGTCAAAGGGATGTGGATTTATTGAATTTGGTGACAAGGCTAGTTACTGGGTGAGTGAAATTACTTCCATTGTTTGACATCCTTCTAATGTATTACATGTTACGATTATAGTGATTTAATATGCAGTTACATCAGTCATTTTGATTGGTTAATATTTTCTTGCATTTGTTTCTTTTTGCGCATCTTTTGTTTTAGATTCCTCACTATGTAAATTACAGTTTGGTTTTTTGTAATAAACCTTTAAAAATAGGAGTTCCTTTTATTAAGGCACAACTTGATGATCTTTTTACTTGAACTGTTGGGAAAATGAACAAATATTCTCCAAACTTTGCCCTTTACTTTACCCTTAACAAGTATCCATACTTATTATTATCAAAGGTTAAATTTTATATTATTCCTTTCCAGAAAGCACTGAATTTACATCACAGTGTTCTAGCTGGAAGAAAGATAAATGTAGAGGTAACATGTGGAGGTGGAGGTAAAGGAGAAAATAGAGTGAAAAAACTGCAACAACGTAAATTAAAGTTTCAGCAAGGAAGGAAAAGAAGGTCAACAACTTCTACAAAAGTCAAATCAAAACAGAAGGATGATACAAGCTGTAATACATAGACTTGAATTATATTTATTTCATAATAAAAAGAAACTTCTTGTTCAATTATGTCTAATATTGTTCAGTTTTATCTTTTTTCTCTGAAAATGAATTCAAAAAAGGAATTAAACTTACTAGTTTTATTTTTTATTAATTTTTTTTTTGTAACAAACCCAAACAACATATTAATTTGCATGAATCATACAGCCAATATAGTGAAAATAAAATAAAAAAAATTAATCTTTGTACTGATCTGTAAAAATATCATTTGTCCCTGTAGAGCCCAAGAATTCTTGTTGCAATTTTATTTATAATTCTTTTAGGGTCAAGTTGAGTTGTTTGTGGCTGTGAGATTGTGAGAAGAGGGCTTATTAAAATTCATACTTTTAGAGATTCCTTTTGATTTGTATGTCAAGCCCCATCTGTCATCCAAAGGGTGTTTTTTGTTTAATTCTCTGGAAACTTTTTACTCTTCTCTTTTATTCTCTTATTACTGAACACAAATGCTCACATTGCAGATGTGTGCCAAATTACTTTACCAACAGAAGCATTCCAGAACATTTGGTTCAAATTGTTTTGTGAGAACTCTTGTTGGCGCAAAAACCCATAACAAGTTCTTGGAACATTTCCATATTTCCCCCTAAATAGTGGAACACCATTCCTCTCGACAGGGAATTGTAGCATGTAAGAAAAGTTTAAAACTCATATTTTTGAAGGATTCTTAACAGCCCCATAATTGATCAAGATTCAGCTGTATTTAAATCATCTGCTTGTGTAAGATTTTTAGTACCTGTAATACTATTTGTCAAATGCTGTGGATAATTAGTGGATATGGCACTGAAGAAGAGGGGCTGGTCACTACACACATCCAAGCATTTTACACACAGATAGGATTGGTGGAGGGAAATCATGCCATATGTAACAGGTTGTTTTATTGTTAGATCCATTGGTTAATTGCCAAAGTAGATAATTGAATTTGACAGAAACCAGTTAAAGGCACTTCTGATTTTGCTCAAATGAAACACAATGTTAAGCTAATGTTACAATAAATAAACAATTTATAAGAAATAAAACATCAAGATAAAAAAAGCAAGGAAAATGAGATTTGGTAGTAATCACCAGAAACTTGATCAATGTGCATATTAAAAGAAAAGGGAAAAGGGTGAGGCAATTGGGAAAATCATTGATTTTTTTAAAGGGTCTAGAGACATAAATGCCCCTCTTTCGTGACAAACCAGAAAATAATGACTCAATCAAATTAGGCGCATTAAATTGCCTTAAAATGACATTTGTCAATCAGGTTTGATTGGCATCGGGAAAGTATCGGTAATCGACTTATCGCGTCTGTTTGTCATAACAACACCTGTGAGGCGTCACGTGACCGGCAATGCGATAACAAGAAAATGGCGTCAGAGGAGAGTTTGCTTTTCTGTGTTCCTGAATTTTCTTCCCAAGTTTTCTCAGGGCTACACAGCCTTAGAAAAGATGGGAAGCTCTGCGACATTCAACTTGGTGTAGGTGATTTCCATTTGAAGTCTCATCGTGTGGTTTTAGCCGCTGCGAGTAGCTATTTTAATGCCATGTTTACTGGAGACATGAAAGAAAGTCGTCAAGATGAAGTCATCTTGTTCGGCGTGGAATTTTCAGCTTTAGAGGATCTGGTGAATTTCTGCTACACAGGAAGGATTGAAATCAACGTAGATAATGTGCAGAATTTACTATGTGCCTCCAACCTGCTGCAGTTGGCGAGTGTAAAGCAAGCGTGCGTTGAGTTTCTCCACCGCGTTCTTCATCCGACAAATTGCCTCGGTATCCGGTCTTTCGCTGATACATATTCTTGCATAGATCTCGTCAAAGCAGCTGATGTTTTTGCTGTGAAAAACTTCTCTGAGGTTGCAAGGAGTGAAGAATTCTTGAGCTTGGCCCCCGAGGCGGTGGTGGAGATGATCTCGCGGGAAGAATTAAATGTCCGCACAGAAGAAGAAGTTTTTGAAGCAATTTCAGCTTGGGTGAGAAGAGAAGAAGACGAGCGCAAAGATTTCCTTCCAGAATTACTCAAGAACGTGAGACTGCCTTTGATTAGCCCGCAGTATCTATGCGACAAAGTCTCCAGCGACGAGCTGATAAAGAGTAATTTAGCATGCCGTGACTTGGTAGACGAAGCTAAGGACTACCTCCTCATGCCTGAGAGGAGATGTAAGCTTCAGTCGATCCGCACGAAACCAAGGCGATGCAGTGAAGCTGCATGTCTGATTTATGCTATTGGCGGCCTGACTTCCTCTGGGGAGGCTCTTAGCACCGTGGAAACGTACGATACTTTGACCGGACAATGGTTGCCTGGCTTACCTATGAGCACGTTGCGTACCCGTGTTGGAGTAGCTGTCCTTGATAAAAAGCTGTATGCCCTTGGTGGATTTGATGGCCACAAGCGACTGAGCACAGTGGAATGTTTTGATCCACAGTTTCAAACATGGAAGGCAGTTGCTCCCATGAATACACGTCGCAGTGCTCTTGGTGCAGTGGTAGTAAGTGGAGGGATTTATGTTGTAGGTGGGTATGATGGCCACATCTCACTGAGCACAGTAGAGTGCTATTCTCCTGCAGTCAACAGCTGGAAGTTTGTAGCCCCAATGGGGACACTCCGCAGTGCTGCTGGTGTCACAGAGTTGAACGGAAAGATTTTTGCCATTGGTGGACACAATGGCTTATCAATATTTAACACTGTGGAAGTGTACAACCCACAAACCAACACATGGGTGCAGAGTCCGCCAATGAGTGTTCGTAGATGTAGAGTTGGTGTTGCCACTTTAAATGGCCGCATCTATGTGTGTGGAGGGTATGACGGCAGTTGCTTTCTCAACACTGTTGAGTGTTTTGACCCTGAGACTGGGCAATGGACCTTTGTAGCCCCCATGAATACTCGCCGCAGTAGGGTAGCTGTGGTGACTCTAGGAGGAAGGTTGTATGCGATTGGAGGCTACGATGGCTTGTCAAACCTTAATACTGTGGAGTGCTTCGATGTACTGAGCAATAGATGGACCCCTGTGGCATCCATGGGCATGCACCAAGGAGGTGTTGGAGTGGGAGTGCTTCCTAGAGGACCATTTTCTTAGGAGATGGTGCAAAAAAAATTCCTTTTTTAAAAGAGAGAATTGCACCTTAAAGAACAAATCTCTTGGCAGATTGGTAGTCAACATTCCTTTCAGAAGAAATCAGTAAATTCATTGGAATAACTTTAAAAGTTATTATTTGCCATGCAAAGGGGATTTAAAGGTTAAATATCATTTAACACATCATGTACTCAATTATAATTATATTGCTTCACTTTTTGAAAGTGAAATAAGATTCCCTTGGTAAGTTTGTTATGAGCCTGAGTATTTTCATCTAATCTAAAACCGCAGGTAATTTCACAATTCATTACAGGTACTCCAATTAAATAAAATCATTATTTATTTTTGGCTAGGACTTGCTTTGGAAGCTTCCACTATGTCATGATGGAGTTTAATAAAAATTTAAGTATAAAAATCTTTTTGTTCTTTATGAAGTTGAATTGAATTCGTCATCAGTATATATGAATAAGATTGTTAATCATCCCAGTTTACACAGAGGATTGGTTGGTTAGCAATAAAATTTAATTTTGTCACAACAATTTTTAATTAGTTTTTATGAATACTTTGTTAGGTGGCCTTGAACTGAAAAATAAATTTAGTGGGATCATTAGAAAAGATGACAGTGAACTAAAAAGGATACTGGAGCAATAAGAAAGGATAGTACTGAGGTCAAATAAATATTTGTGTAAAATCCAGAAACTGAAATATATTTATTCAGTCATTTATAATTCACAAGATTTACGTATAATTTATGCTAATTATTCATAGTTTGTTAGGTATGTAGTTTGAAGTTATGCCAAAAATACCAGTTATTTCCAAGTTGGTGCAAGAAATTTGTGTATTTATTACAATTTTCACCAGGAAAGCTTGTTTAATTTAAAGGGCCATTTTCATTAATCAGCAGCTTACCTTTCTTATTCTACTTTGGAAGAAAGAGACTATGAACAATAAAATTAAAAATGGATCTATATTTAACTTGCTTTAAAAGGACAACCATTCTGAACATGCTTTGCAGGCTGGTATGCTCCAAGAAATATATTCAACTGTATCATTCAATATGCAAGGATAAAAGTTTGTTAAATCATGACAATGTTGAACTTGCATACACGTCTTTGAGGAGATGCATAGTAACCAAATTTTGCACTTAATGTCAGGATGTTCTTGAAATACATTGAGTATGAATTGAGAACATCTTTTTTCTTATGGCAAAGTTCAAATGGTTTATAATTAATATCTAAATGTATTTTCACTTGAATAAACCAATATTTGGAAGCATTTAAACTTTGTGTAACATTTTATATCTTCTGTTTGCAAGTGGACTTTCATTGATGCGTGGAAATAAAATAATGTGGTTTTCAGAAGAAGTTGGCACCCTGGAAGTTTTTATGATCTTTGCCATTAGCTTTCACTAGATAATGAAGTAAAAGCAGACAATGTTCATTACATGATCTCTCCAGCTGAGTCAATCCTCTCTTAACTTGAGCCATTTTATCTAGAATTTGACTGTTACTGCATTGTAGGGTGCACAGTTGACCCAAATTGTCACTGCGGAAGGTTAAGTCATGTTGTTTTAGAACACCTTTTAAGGAACAAACTCAACAACCAAAAGAAAAGCATGCAAAGTTGGTTGGTTAAACAAGGGCTTTAAATACTTCAATTTGGAATCTTCTGAAAAAATTTACATTCCCACATTGAAGTTAACAGACTATTCCATCTTTCAAATTAATCTCCTCCACATTAAATAGTTATCTAATGGAATATTAAAATGTGTCTTCCAAGTTAATACATAGGAATTTGACTGATAACTAAAATATCAAGATCTCTGCAGCATAATTATGTTTTGTTTCAGCCCAGAATCACTTGGAATCAATGAGAGCAGTTCTCATCTGAATATCTTGCATATAGCACTGCAGAGAAAGAAAGGGTACAAATTTCTAAAATTTCAAGTGTGGTCAAACATTTTAATTTCCATAATAAGAAAAATAATCATTTAATGTTTTACATAGTTTCTATAAAATTATTTAGTACATATTTCTATATTATACTCTGCTTGCTAACAAACTTTTTACCTCATTACTAAACCCAAGAAATACTTCTTAAAAGCAGAGAAGAAATTTCCGAATAGCTGAGATTCTTTACTTTCAACATGTTCCATGAAAACTGTACAGCCATTTTTGACCTCTTTGTAAGGAAAACTGCCTACATTCAACTCAAAACTAAGAAGAGGATGGGCAACAGGAGCATTTGCAAACTTCTCACCCTGATTAGAGGATGATTTTTCATATCCTTCTGACAATTGATCAGTTAATTTATCTTTGCTTAAACTTTTGTTGTTTTCATTGTCTTGTTTCTGAGGCTGAGAGGACCTGCGCCGTTCTCTTCTACAATGGGTCCATGTATTTTCAAAAGCTTTGCAAACAGCTGAAAACTCATGGTCATATTTTTTTTCTCTCTCTGATTTCCTTGCTTCATTTCTAGTGTCACTGCAACCTGCACCAGAGATATGCCCAAAAAGCTGGGGCACCACTGATGTTTTGACATCCTGGGTTTTCCCAGACACACCGGATTCTGCTGCACCAGAGCAGGGTACCTTAGTGGAACATTTTACTTCACATTGAAATCCATACTCTCTCTCTAACGTCTCAAGAACAAACACAAAGACTGCATGGGGTGTACTCAGGTTGTTAACACAACCTGTGTCTGTTGCCTGAGAACTGTTGTTTTGATACTGAACAAAGAAATCATGGCGATGAGAATGCTTCCTCCTCTTAGGAGATTTACAAACTGTGAAAAGGTTCAAGAGTTTATTTCCAGAGGGATTTGGATTATCAACACTGTTATTCAAATCCTGGCAAATCATGTGAGCCATCTTCATTAATTCAATCATGTTTTTCAGTGTTTCCATGGTAATGTTCTGTGTCAAGTTATGCACAAGCTCAAAGGGATCCTGGACACACAAAGGGGCAATCTTAAACTCTAGTCGTTTCCCAAACCTTGGACTGGTGTGAGCACATTCTGAGACTGAATTTGGCATTGCGTTCTGCTGCTTAATGGTTTCTCTTGTCATCCTATTAGCATCCTTACTATCATCATTCTTTGTTGACTTTGTTTTACATACTTGATCACTATCAGTTGTGATCATTGAAATGTTGCCATTAGTTTCTGTACATGGTGTAACCTTTAACTCTTCCAACACTGATGCAATACTTGTCTTTTCGCCTGTCTTGATGCTGACCACACAATTAGCAAAGTCAAATTCAGTTGAAAAGAAGCAAAAGAACTCTTCCAATAGCTGAACTGTTGAAGAGGCAAAATAGAGAGGTTAACAAGGTAATTCTACTGTCAAGTGTCTCCTTTAGGTGGATGAGCAAAGGAATCATTAGATATATTATATACATTGCAGAGTTTTCTCTTAAAAGATTCAACACTGCTGGCTACTGTCAGAGTATCAACAACTATTTTCAACTGATTATAAGTTTTGAAGATCTGTAGGCCAGCAAATCACAATTTTAATGAAAATGATAAACTAGATGTAATGTTTTGATTCCCTTTCAAGCTTATAGTTTGAAAGCTGTCTAAAATTGAATATGAAAATAAAATTTCCAGGAGCTTTGCAAACTAGTATTTTGATGACCATCTCCAATTGTATTAAGAAGGGTTACATGTAAACAGTACAATAATAATATCATGTGTAACTAACCATGGATTTAAAAAAATATTACTATCATATTTCTTTCTGTCACTGTAAGTCCATGGTAGATGGTTTCTCACATGGGAAAAACAATATTTAAAACTCCACCCAGTTAAGTTGACAAGAAGCCAAATAATGTTGACTGGATCTGAAAACTGACTACTTCAAAACATCTGAATACAACTGGAATAAGCAAAAGATCAGATGAAGTGTACTTACTCAGACTTTTGGTATTCTGTGAAGGGGAAAGTTTGGCAACATCTGTGAAAAATGAACAGTTCCAGCTGTCAATAAATTCTGAACTAGGCTCTTTCATATCAAATGAATGTGACTGCTCTCTGATCCATGCATCAAATCTACATTGTAGTGAAGGGATAACCGGTGGATGTTGCATTTGCAAGAAGTGCAGCACCATCAGAGTCAAGGCATAGTTTGACAGCTGTCTACTAGCTGTTATAGCTTGAGCTTTAGCCCAGGCTCTCACTATGAACACCAGCTGAGGAATCCTGGGATCAAGGGAAATGTAGCTGCGAAGGAGCTCTGAGTTTCTTACACCAAGCCTGTTGAGAAATCATTGGTATTATCAGTGACATGACTTGATGATGCTGTAACTTTTGTTCTGATTATCCTGATTTATAAGGGCTGTACTAAAATAGGACTGTTGTTATTTGTCACTGTGACAGACTTTTTCTCAACAGGAGAGGAAGTCATAAATCAAGTCAAGACAGAGAGAAAGTCAAAATCAATTTTTTACGACAGATTTTATAATGGAAAAATTTGGCGTATGAACTGAGAACCAATTTCTAATGGTAAATACTTGGCTCATGTTAGAGAATCCTGTTGTACATTCCAGTCTATATGTGATCACTAAGTATGCATGCACACGTGTAGCTATTCTGTGAAGAAACTCAATCACAACTTATTATAGGGTTTTCCCTGACCCTTAAGAACACATCAAATAGCTACATTTCGTACATAAAATTTGAATAAGCAATTGTGCATAGATAAGGCCATTATACATAGATAACACCATTATCATGAACATCACCACAATTATCCTTTGTCACAAGACTTGTCATCATCATCATTCGTGATCTATATCCTATCAGCACCTAAATGGCACTGAGAACTACAAGAACATTTATCCCATAAGGCAGCAGTACAGTTCCTGTTTATAAATTAGTTTTAAGAGAGGCCTTAAGCTACTGTTGCATACAAGCTTTTGCTGATCCATAGCATTGTTAGATGATAGATCAGGGAAAGCTTGGAAGCTTATTTCTAATGCTACAGTTATAATAGCTTAATGCCTCAGTCAAAACCATAATATAATTATGATACTGGTACTACTGAAGGACAACATGCAACCATTATAATAGTACCTGTTGTTTACTGATAGGTCACATGACAATCCAGAGGGCAGATGTGTGAATTTGATTAAAGGACATTTAGCAGTCAAGACTGGTATGACGTTTGTGCAGCCGGGAGCAAAACTACGCAGTGCATCAACAACTAAAGAGTAATCAACAACAGCATCATCAACTTCAGACATCAGTAAACACAGATCCAAGTCACTTCCCTTCCATCCCACTCCACTAACAGTTGAGCCAAACGGCACCACAGAGGCTCCTGGATAAACTTCACTCAACACCTCTTGTAGCAGCTGACAAACTAAACGTCTTAATTTGATGTCTTCATCAGTGAGACACAATTGCTGCATCAAAAGATTCACTTGCTCATCTACCTGACAGTGTAAATGCAAGCCAGTTATACAGTGTAATGAAACAATGAGACCTAACATGTGAGTTGTTTCTCTCCTGTGGCTATCATACAGTTATTCAATATATCAAGTAGTTATTAGAGGGTTTGAGGTTATAGACATGATACACATGTGTTGGATAGTTTACATTTTAAGTGCTCCAGGGATTTTAAAATCCATGATCAAAAATTTTGGTAGATCAGTGTTGACACTAAGCACCAGCTACTGGTGAAACTGATGAAATGAAAAAGTGGCAATCACTGGCCAGATTTGTAGCTGAGGATCACTCATTAAAGTGCAAAGGGCAAGTAGTATTTGGTTGTATCTAAATTAAAATAGCAAGGTATGTGTAGAACTCATCTAGTGTTTCCACATACTGTCATCAATGAATTCAGTTTGACAATGAGATCCTTAGATAAAAAGTTTGCCATCTCCTTGCTTCCCAAACACCCATGATGGTGTTGCTCAGGGTCATCATGACCCCGCTTTTTGGGTTTTTGTATTTTAAATTGATAGCTTGTTTTAGCTACAGTCCTTTCTTTCACTGTTAAGTGTTTTTTATGCAGAGGTGGTAATGACTGCAGTTGACTCAGCACTTTTGTAACACTTTCTTCACTGTCAAACTCCACTATTGCAAAAACACCCTGGAAACAAAAGAAATTAAGACAAATTTTCATTTACCATCCAATTATCAAGCATTATGGTTCACAAGGGAGAGTTTTATCATAACCCAATATTTTTTACTTAATATTTTATATTTTACTGCTAGCACTCATTTGAAATAATAGCTGTTTCCTAAGAATTCCCTCCTATTTATAACAATAGAAGCTTAGAATGACGTACATTCATTGCCCTGATCAAAAACAACAAGAAAACAATAATTTTATCAAGTTATTAAGCAACTTCCACATTTTTGATAAACTTGAAATATGACTTGCAATCAAAAAGCTTTCTGGGAGCCATTTCAAGGAATTTTAAAATAAAATAAAATCTCTTTCCTGGATGTAAACATCACAAACGAAAAAACATCAGGCCTCCCACAGGATTAACAAGAGAATTTTCTGGAATCAAACCCTTCCAAAATAATTATTTATGAAATTAATTTGTTTATTCATTTCAAGCTTGGATTCCATCAAATGGCTATAGATGTCACCCTGCCTTTTCTTTTACTACACAAGTATGTCTTCACCAATTAGATCATTCTGTTTCAAGCCTACAAGTGACCAGCTTGTAATTTTTCCTTTGAATCAGTCAATAAGATCATGAGGATGATGGAAATGATTGCCAATCTATGCATGTGCATCTTTGATTCTCCTTTTCAGCAAAGAAAATGCATAGAGTGGAGTATGGAGGATATGGACACTGATATTCAGGTATAAAGTGTTAAAATACCTTATCTTTATCCAAGAATATGTTTGAGACTTTTCCATACACACTAAAGTATTTTCCTAAATCTTCTTCTATGGATCCTGAGTTTTGAAAGCCTCGAACATAAATGCTCCTCCTTGAAGAAGATTCTCTTTCTTGTTTTAACTTCAGTAACCTTTGATGTTTTTTGCCATTGTTGTGGGTTTGGAGAAGCGAAGCTAAGAAATTAATTTTTGAAAAATAAGTGACAAAATGAAAAAATTTGTTACATGTACCATATAAAATGCCAGTCCTTTCGATTCTGCATTTCTTAAGATAAGGTTACAATACGAATCAAACTTGAAATATAATTCAGCTTGAGGAATTTTGCTAGATCTGGAGCTGCAGACCTGTATACATGTAAATTAATTAGAACTTGCATAAAAAAGTGAAAATCATTTATGTATGGAAAAAATTGAAACTTATCACCAACTTTGATTTTTAAACTGTAAGTATCTCGAGAGATTATAGAGAACAGTATGGAGAATATGTATACTGATGTTAGAGTGTAGAGGTTTAATAAGACGAACGACCCGAATTTCGCGAATTTCACTTCCAAGATAAAAGCTCCACAGCTTACGAGCAAAGACAAGACTTGATTCCACACTGACGCTTACAGAAATAGAAATTCAAATCCGTCAATGAGTGAATTCTGACTGTTAATACAGACGCAGTTAAAAGGTGGAAAGCCGTGCAAAAATTTTAAAGGAACTGTGGTGCTGCGTCGTTGGGGGAGTATAACAAGATAATTTTGGTGTTATCAACTGAGTTGACAATGTAAATTGGCCACCGCTAAGAGTTTCAAAGCTGACGTCTCTAGCGTTGGTCCTTCGTCAGAGCGAACAACACAAGAAGGATGAAATCCTTGACTATTAAAAAATTAAGCTTTTATTCATGGTATGCAAGGTTGTCCTCACCTGAAGGCAAAGTTACTCCACAAACATCACAGAAAACTTGCTTTCTTTTTATCTCACCCACTTCCGCCATATTTTCTTTAAATAACGCGGGCTCTGGTAACGAAGGCTTATCGGACTACTCGATCCAGTCCATTATCGTCGTTTGCTTCGAACGCCTGACTGTTTTAAACTTTGCTCTGATTCTCTACAACACGTACTCTGTAGTTCTCAAACATGACTACCAATTTGTGCTCTGCTAGGAAAGTTAACGCGTGTGCTGAGAGGGGTAACAAATACTGGCGATTTTCAACCACTTCGACCTGTTCTTTAAAGAGACGGAGAAGGGAGGAATATCAGAGCTTTCCACGAAAATCGGCGAAGAAACGTCGAAATACTCAAAACGCTCGTGTTCAACAGAAGCCCAGCAGGACTTCAAAAAGCTACGATAGAGCAAAGAGAAAGCAAAAGCTGCTTAAAAGAGATGAGAACTCACGAAAGCGTGAAACTTACAGGAAGAGTCAGGCAGCTAAAGAAAGAGGTAACTTTCCAACTTGCCAGGCGCTTAATCGACTTGACCGACAGTGTAAATCAAAGGCTCTTGACCAGAGCGACTTCTGCAAAATTCATCAGTTTCATGACAGCACCTCTGGACAGGTTCAGTGTCTGGGAATTAACAAACGATTCAAACAATGTATTAAAAGCATTCCAATAGATGAGAAATATTGTAAATATCACATGAATAAGAAACAGTCCTAGCTTAAATTGATTTCTTTAAAAAAAATAAAATAAAAAGGCAGTTTTGTTCAGGCAGAGGACACCTTTCACTTTTTGCCCTACTAAGAAAATGAAAAAGACATCTTTTGACTCATCCACCCGTCGCTGTTAACGATTGAGTTACATGGTAACTGGAAAGTTGTACTGGTATGAAAATGCCAGGAAATGTCGGGGATAGTTGAAATTGTACGGATTCTAAAAGAGCGAATCGAGTTGAATATGGACGCACGAGTTGTCCATTGCAGGTAACCCACCGGTTCTCAAGCAATTCACCGGCAAGAGTTTGAGTATAATGTATCATTTGCTCAACGTTCTACTTCTCGTTATCATGTTTTCTTGAGTTCTCTCTCACCAGCTAGCGTTTACCCCAACAAAACTAAATGATCTGGCTCTGGTTGTTCGAAGGTTGGATAACGATATCCATCGGTTAATCTCTATCCGGTGGATAGCGCGGTATGTTTGGCTAACACATCTGCTGGATAGCGATGTATCTGATGGATAACGTTATCCGCCCTTTGAATAACTGGGCCCTGGTCAGAGTTTGAACATAGATAAAAAGATAACTTTATTCAGTTAAACACGGTAAAATCCCTCAGCACAATCTAAGAGTATGAAATATTTAATTCTGTCCAGCTAAACTAAATAACAAGAACCAGGACATCTCGATCCCGATTCCAGAGCGGGACTAAAAGGGAGACTGGGTCTTCCACACCCGCATAATTCAACTAAAGAAAAACTTAAAAGGAGGCATGTGCTCCAAAAACCAAATCCAGAACCTTTTGACATTTTCGAATAAATAGATGAAATCTTGACAAAAAAAAAAGTGACAAATTGTCTTCCAATGTGCTAGAAATTCGACCACTTATTTTAAATCTTGCTTACGCGGGTTTTTTCCCTCTCTGGGTGAACTCTTTCAAGGTAAAAAGGAGTTATCAAAACACTTTCTTGACTGAAACATTGATTTCCTCTCTCTGCGATAACCAGACAAGCGACTTATAGCGAACAGCGCGTTGTAGTTTTGAGTTCAAACAGGTAGCTGATTATTTTTTAAAATACAAATGTAATTACAAAAACAATCGAGGTTTACTTGGAATGTTTACATTTAAATTATTGTACCTCTATGAAACGAACCACAAAAACTGTCACGGGTCACGAGCTACGTTAAGAAAACAAAAAAGCGGTGGTTGTGATCCATTTTCTCTCAGTCACACGCAAGATAACAATATCTCTTTTCTGTCTGCCATACATCTCGTGCGATATAACTTCAGAGAATTTGGTATTCAATCAAACGGTTTCTCCAGGCAGATAGTTTTCAGTTTTTGCATCACCTGTCTTACTGAATATCTATTCATTTTGTTAGTCAGTCTTAGAACGAAGCGGCTAAAACTTAACACCACGAAACTTGTGGTAAATTAACGATGACGTAAAGTGTTCGTTTTCGTATGGTCATCTGACATTAAAAACGTGTTTTACTAAATACGCATTATTTCACTTTTAAAAAGCGGGTGTATGACATAAAAAGAGATGTCACAGTCATAGATATAACTTTGTCGTAGCAATTTTTCCGAGAGCTTTGAGAAGGACACATTTGTCGCAAGGAGATCACTCATTACAATGTCGATTGAAGACGGATCAATGGACGCTTTGAAAGAGGTAAAGAGTGTTGATTTCTCTGTCTGTGTCTGCTCTATCCGCATACCGGCGAGTTTATTCATTCAGTTACAAATACTTACATGGTCCCGGCTTTTCTTTAGTAAAAATTACTCCCGTAAACATTTATTTACATTTTAAATTTAAGATTTAAAACAAGTAAAATGATAAAAACAATCGATAGGTTATTTCAAAAAACTAGCTGATGGCTTGAATAATTCCCCTAAATCTGAACAGCTTTCAACTACTATACGATCGGGGTCTGTTGAGGAAAGAACATTGAACTGGTTGAGAAAAGTAAGAAATAAATCTCGCTTCATCTCACGCATTTCCGAGTCAAATTAAATCGAAATCAGGTCATTAGGATTTAACGATGGAGTCATTTGGGTTTTTTTTCTCATTCGATGGCTTGGTGGAGTTTTTTTGTTATGACTTAGAATCAAGTTTTAATTTGCGAAACCAAAAGTTATGACGCCACCTTGTTTACGAATCTTTGAAAGAATTAAACGGAGAACTACAACGTTATAATTTTGGTTTCAGGAAGTTCATAGCCTTTTTATAGAAAGGAAAATAATATTAAGTTATTAATAAATTAAGTGCTTCTGATATGTAATATGGCGTATTTTCCTTGTAAATCATGAATTCGTTCGTAAACAAAGTTCGTATAACAAAAGTCGTTTTCATGACTACTCTCACCTTGACAATAAAGTGCAAACCAACTGGTAAGTGAGATCATTTCAGTTTTATCGAGAGTTAGCCCTTCGTTTTTTATTACTGCAGAAGATACATATGTTATTTATGGGCCGTAGGCCCCGAGCAGCATTTTCAAGACCTCGGTCACAGTTTTTTCACCATAAAGACCGACCCTTAGCCGGTAAATAACATATATATTTTTTAAATTTAACGAAATTCTTTCCGAAAGAACCCGAATGATATAGGGCTGTAAATACCGGTACCGCAAGACCTTCCATAAACTGAACAATTTTTGAGCGAGTAAAGGGTAGTTAAAATAGAGGTGATATAAATTAAAGAGAGATGCTTCACCGAAACATTTTCATTTACATAATGATAAAGGTGATTTAAAAGGCTTCCAAACAAACTTTGAAACATTATTTTTTCAAGTCTGTTACAATCTGACACCTGTCAATAAGAGAGCGGGTAAGAAAAAAAGCGCATGTACACTTTTGAAAAAACAACCGAACTAGTTTGGCAAGGACTGTCACGACAATGATTTCTTCAAAAAAAGTCAATGATCTTACGGAAAGTATTATTCACTCTAGTCGACGATGGATTCATGTAAGAAGCTTTACCTCTGTTGATGAAGTAAATTGCGAGGAAAGTAATTGTAAGTAAATTCAAATTTTTTTATTTTGAAGTTGTGAGAGTTTGTTCGTGTGTTTGCTGAAATGGCGTGTGTAAATGTGGTCTTTCCTCCACAAAAACTGAATTCGAATGAGACACTTCAACGAGACTCAAGGGGATTTAATGCGGCCTTTCCTCATTGAATTCCTTCAGTTTCTGTTGTACAATTTATGGTACAAATGTCCGAATTGAACGGACTTGGAAAGACTCACCGAGAGCGTGTATTTGTTGTAGAACTGAAAACTTCGCTCGCCCTTTTAATACGAACAAATTGTTTGAGGGAATTCAGATATTAAATGAATGACAGTTCCATCGATAAATTCAATTGTAACCAAATACCTCACGTTTTAACTTTCTAGGTACTTTTTGTGAAGGATTGAAATTAATTACAAACAGGTTTTAAGCCGCTTGTCAATCAATTTAATGAATCTTTAGCTTATACAAATTAATTTCGAAACCAATATTTTCCTGTTCACCAAAGTAATTTGAGAGGGAGAAAAGAGAGGATGAATAAGTTAGTGATCGGCCGGAAAAAACGAGATATAATTATGAAAAATGGCAACGAAGGTAGGAATGTACTCGGCGACTCACGAAAGCGTTACCGTTGCCCGAAGGCAGAGATAGGAAAATACGGATTGCGCAAAGAAACAATCAGATTGCAGGATTCGTTACCGTGCCCTCTGAGAAAAAAATTAAATTGGGATGTCATGTCGAGTTCAAATTCTGCCTAGTTTCCAAGCCCCCCGTCCGTGTGGTGATCCCTGAGAGAGAAGCGTATTCTTTTGCTGATTGTTAAAAAAAGATTAATAAATCAATTATTGAATTCGTTTTTCGCATGATATCATGAATTATTACACCTCGTGAGCTTTTGGTCTAAGCCGATAACTCAGACCTTGGCATCTATAATTCATGATATCACGCTCAACCTTATCCAATAATTGCCTATTATCAACTCAGTTAGCTAATACAACCAAATCATCTTGTAATAGCCTCCATCGACGCAGCACCACGGTTTTCGATCTTTAGAAAAGGTGCCCCTTTATCAACCGGTGATTGCATTCATTGACAATGTCCAGTATGCGACAGCCTGCCTACAGAAATACATGTAAATTCGCAGAATGAACTTCCATTGAGCGTAGCATTCCAATTGCCTTTTACCTATGGCTTACGTTATTTCACCAACTGTACACAGTATGTTGTCTACTGTCCATAGTCTATAAATTTCCGTTTCCATTATTCGTTGTTGCAGGAAGGCACTACTGCAGTCATAGATGGAAGTGACTATGAATGGTCAACGCACCAACATACAAGGCTTTATTCAATGAATGAGGACGGCGGTGCCAAAGGTCACTACTTGTACGTCGATGAGAACGGTTCGTTGAAAGCAGATGGAGGAGAAAATAGCGCAAGTGAGTAAAGAAGGGGAAATGGTTTTTAGGAGATTACTCGTCAAAAAAATATCGTCCTTCCCTTAAGTTTGCGGAAATATCCGCATGTGAACTTTTAGGGGTGTTTCTTGGATTAGGGCTGTTAACCGGCAAAGATGAAAAATTCGTATTGTTTACAAATACAGAGAGAAAAACCGAGTATTACTTGGTTTTGGTTATGGCATTTCTCGCGGCTGAGAACGGGAAATTGGCATCTGGAATGTTTGACAAAGGCCGTGATCTTCAAGATCACGGCAAGTTGCCCGTCTTCCTGATTAGATTTTTCTTCTGTCGGTAAAGAAAACGTCGAGAATTCTGTGAAAAGAAAGTTCGGTGGCCTCATGGTTAGTGCGCTCAAATCCGGATCGGGTGGTCCGGGTTCGAGCCCTGGCCGGGGTCATTGTGTTGTGTTCTTAGGCAAGATACTTTACTCTCACAATGCTCCTCTTCACCCAGGTGTACAAATGGGTACCAGCAAATATGCTGGGGGTAACCCTGCGATGGACTAGCATCCCATCCAGGGGGGAGTAGCAATACTCCTAGCCGCTTCATGCTAAGAAAACCGGAGTTAAGCACCGGCCCCATGGGCCACTTGGGCCTGTATAAAGGCTTATCTTACTTACTATTAATATTATTGTTATTATAATCAGCATAAGGTTTGTCAATATTATTCATATACTTTTGAAAGCGTGTTCTTGGAGCTCCGTTAAGCCGGATTGTAGCAATAACCAGTGAATCGCCAACTAATGTGTGATTCATGAAGGGCAATGAATATCAGTGTTTTGTATACCATGATGGCTCTCTATTATATGCTACAGGTACTTTCACAGTCTACACTCTCTCGGAAGATGCTGATTTAGTTATGTTAAAGGTCGAAGATTCTGAGGATGCTACTGAGAAAGTTGTGGCTGTAGATACAAACACTGACACTGTCATTGTAAAGGTGCGTAACTGAAACGATTTCAGTCGGCTAGAAATTTCATTATCTCTGGTCCATTGATCGATGAGATTTAAAAATTTTTAATGAAATACAACCGTTTGTCTCTCGATGAACTCCATTCCGATGTGGATCGCGGTGTTTTGACGGCATACTGCGAGTCTTCTTCAGGCCGGCGATGTACAAGGTGACGCCTATCCAGTCGCCTATGAAATGATTAAACTGTGAGACAAACGATTGTAATTCCCCACAAATACGATCTATAACGATAAGCTTTTCTACAATGTCAACTTTTTTAAATGATATGGAAGATCAGTAAAACTTACATGTCATCATGATCACAATTATCATCTGTCTGACATCTGTTTCAACACTTCAACTGCCAGGAAATATTAACATTTCAACTCTCTTCGCAATGTCATTAAAGTATCTAGATCTTTCGCTTATGCATGATTTAAAACAGATTGAGTTACGTAGTGACTGTAACTGGCATTGATAAAATTAAATTGCTCAAGTTTTAATCCAATGTAGACTTTCAAAATGAAGAAGAGAATTACAGCGTTCTCACGTCAATTCTTGCGCATAATTTCTCAGGGCTCAAAATGCTCTGATTTTGTACTTTATGTGTTATCTATTCTGACAGGCTCTCCCCTCAGGGACTTTAGGACAGTTGAATAACTCGAAGAAGGCCAAAAGTTCCCAGTCTGACATTCTGTTCTACAAGATAGCGCGCAAACCAGGGTCTCCTCAGTTTTACTTGAAGTCCTATTTGAAGTCAAGTCTGAAAGACTCGATTGGTGTTGATCGAATCGTTGGTTTTGACCATGACGGCGTTCCAATTAAGACTACTGATGTACAGCAAGGTTTATTAGAGAGTCTCTTCAAGATATACTGAGCGCTGGCAACTTTTCTTAATTTCTAACGTGATTATTATGATAAATTTCTTTTTAACTATGAACTTCTCTGGTGACAAAGGATTAATTTTAATCCATGAATCAATGAAACGCATCTTAGATAATTGTTTAATAAACTTTTTATGAACTATATACTAAATTTGGAACTATTTTGAATAAGTGTTTAGAAATTTTTTAGGCCTTTTAAATTATCTTGAAATCCTTCAGTTATGAGACGGTACTAGTCTTGTGAGCCTAGGTTTGTCATGTGCTGCAAGACCACACACTTGTCTTTACCCAGTTTGGAGTGATGTGTTCTTGACCGTTGTAGTGGGGCTTAATTCTCGTACGATAAACGTCATCGTTTTTGTGCTTGTCTTTGATCTTGCTTAGAGTCCTCAACAGGAGGACTTTATTATTTGAAATAAGTTTACTCTGTTTTAGTTTTCCGTAAGCCCAAACATGTTTACCGGTAGGATATTTAAGAGCGTGTACTTAAGGCAGAGAAAGAGAGACAGAGACAGAAAGAGAAAAGATAAAACAGAGAATAAAAAAAAGTTGTTGATGTGACTCTTAGTGCCTTCATTTGCGCGAGTGACCTGAAGCTACCTAACCCCATCAGTCCAACAAGCTGTTACAAAGAGCCTTGTGTTGTTTGTCATAAGAATCTTATCATGCAAATATGGACACTAAGTTGATCCAAAATATTTATGTTGTATTATCTTTAACTAGTGTTTGAATCACAAAAAATCGACTAACCATTATAAAGAATGATTTTTTATTCGAACAAAAAATTAGACACTTTTTTACTTAAGATTGGACTCGAAACCTTCTACCTTTCTTGAGCATAATTTGTCAGGGCTTAAGCTATTTTCATTTTGCACTCAATGTGTTATCAGTGATAGACTCTTCTTTAAGAGACAACTTTAGAACAGTTTAATAATTCGAACAAGGCCAAAAGGTCCCAGCCAGACATTCTGCTCTACAAGATAGCGCGAACATAAAAAAAGGAGGGGAGTTACTTGGAGTCATCTCTGGACGACAAACAACAAACATCAAATCGATGGATTTGACAAAGATTGCAGCCCAATGCTTGATACTGATGTACCGCCCAGTCAATTAGCAAGTCTCTTCAAGATGGACCTCCGTAATGCTCCAACGATCGCGGCGACAAGTAATTACACATAGTTGCAAATTTTCTATCCATGAATCAATGAAACGCATCTTAGATAACTGGCCAATAAACTGTTTCAAAGAACCCTATAAATGTAGATTGCCTCAAGAGTCTCAACTTAAGTGTTATTTTAGTAAAAAGAACAACAAGTTATTTAGTTTGTCCTCTTCGTGCATCTATGAACATAGGGCCTCGGTCAGAGAACGCCATTGATAATCCTAACCCTCCCCTCCCCGTTCCCTCCTTACGCGTAGATCCTTCAAAAGAAATTATAAAATAATTCAAATAGTATGCGCGCTCTGATTGGCCATAAAACCATTTTACATGAGCGTAGGTAAACACGGTTTTCGTTCCTCTTTCATTAGTTATTTTATAAAAGAAATGTAAAATGGTTTCCGTGTTTACATAGCCTGATGTAAACATTTGGGAGGTTGGGAGATCATGAAATAGGCTGGAAACCACTCCACTTCGCGTCGTGGTTTCCTACGCTTATCTCGTGTTCTCCCAACCTCCCGCGTGTTTACATCAGGCTATGTAAACACGGAAACCATTTTACATTTCTTCAGTATAAGACATGACAATTAATTTAGTGTTAAACAACTGAGTTGAAAACATAAATTGACCACCGTAAATAGTTTAGAGGCTGACATTTCGAGCGTTAGCCCTTCGCCAATCGCTCCGACGAAGGTCTAACGCTCGAAACATCTGCCTCTAAACTCTTTACGGTGGTCAATTTACGTTTTCAACTCAGTTGTTAACACTTAATTACCTGTTTTACTCTCCCACCGACGCAGCACCACAGTTTCTTTTAGAAACATACCCCCTTATAATAAGACATAGTCACGCTGGGAGAGCGTACGTGACTCGTCGTTTTAACTTTTACCAAAAAAGCAAAAAAAATTCAACCATCATTTTGATATTCATGTTTCAAAGATATTTCAAGTTTATTTTCTAACAGGAAAGTACAAACTTCTAATTGACTTTTACAACAAAGAAGAAACTATCATTTATTTATTGCACAAAATTTATGCACAAACCACAAGGACGGACCAGATGAAACGGGGCCTTGTTTGACAAAATGTCAGGTTCCTCTTCTTCTTTGTCTTCGTCTTCCTTTATTATTTCATTTAGCCCGTGTTAGGTGGGCATTGAGAAGGACCACGTCAAAATTTTGTGAATCTGCAAAAATTTATCCTAAATTTTACAAGATCATTTCGACAGCGATTAGCATCTACCCGGCTCATTCTTTTTGGTTTATTCCTGGTATTTTCTTATGTAGCAACTCATTAAGAAGGATCTCGCGCTTGTTGAAGATAAATTTCCGCGTAACTAACGAATAGAAATATTCTGATGAAATTCCTATGTGATAAAAATACTGAATAATTCATAATTCCGTTTTACCGGTCCTGGTGGGTGCCCTGTGTCAACACTGGTTTGAGTACCTTGGGTAGGATTTCTCTCAAGCCACAATTAACTAAACTTGGAAACTACTTGGAAGATGAATTTCTTAGCCCGAAGAGATATTTGAGACCTTCACGATAATTTCCACTAAAGATAAAATAAATGCAAGGGTTTACAGCACAATATGAGTGATTAAGAAAATGAGCAACATATGCGAAGTATTTAAAACCGCAAGACTCAATCATGGAGATGTTCGGTGGAAAAAAGAGAAATAACAAACGTATAGTGAGGGGGATTCGGCATATTGTAAACCCCAGAACGATAGCAATGGACATCTTCAGCACTTTCAGTTCCCTTTTTACTCGTCGTTTAACGGCATTAGCCGATTGCTCGCCTGGAGTCGTCTGGGGCTTGAGTTTTAAAATGATTATGAGGTAGAGTAAAAAAATCAGAAACAAAGGAATATAGGCAAGTGAAATACAAGCGCCCAGAATGTAGTTTTTTAGGGACAACGTATCTCCGAGGGCTTCATTCCACTGTAGTGCACATTTTGTTCCTTCCGTATACTCAACGAGTGAAAAGGCGAAGAGATATGGTAAATGAAAAGCCAATGAGATTATCCAAGTGGCAAGAAGGAGGAACCGGCACAGCTTTGAACCGATAAATGGAGTTCGAAGAGGAAAAACGACAGTTCCAAATCGATCCACTGCTATCAGAACCAGGCTTTGAATTGACACAGAAGTGGAGACATCTGCTATGAAGGGAACAAGCTTACACAAAGTCTCGCCAACACCACCACTCACTAAACCAGAATGAAGGTAGACCTCTGTTAAATTCTTCGGAAAAAGGAATATCGGATAAAGCAGATCGGACGCGGCCATGTTTACGATTAAAATGTTTGTGGCTTTTCTCACGGTTTTCGTCTTAGGCACAATTATCACGATGAAGCTATTTCCAACCAGCGAAACTACAAACAAGAGGCAGTAAGCGATTGTTTCTCCGATTCTACGTGTAACAGGATTGAAGCAAAGCGCCGGAGGCATAACTGGGTGTGTTCCATTGATCGATGTGTTCTCGTTTAGCGACATTTCTCTGATACTGGCGGTTACTTATTTGGCGAGCAGTTCTCACAGGTTGAGTTTTACCTGACCTGATATCCTGAAGAAAAACTTCAACTTTTATATTCTTTTCAAGACGTGATCTGAGTTTAATGAATTTAAAGCAAAGTACGATAACGCACGCGACAAACAAAGCAAACCTCACGTGAGAAGATTCAATTTAGAGCTCTATTCATTTATCGTCAATCAGTTTCCGTTAAAGATGTCTGCATCGGGTGAAAACTAAAAAGTGAACAAAACGAAAACATTTATCTATCGACCATGTCAAGCAAGTTTCAAATAACTGATCAAGAATTATCATCTGCCTAGAATTATATGACACTAGGCCTTACAGTTGCCACACCAACTGAATCTTCTGAAACATTATGGTAACTTCATCTTTGTTTTTGTCGGAAATAGAAAGAGAGAGTTTCGCGCGCATTAAACGTGAGGATTGCACGCTAACAGGGCGAGTTAAAAAAGTCTTAGAAACTTTTATCAAAGAAATTTAGCATACAGAATAAAAAAAGGAAACGAAATAGTATATATAGGTTAGGTTTAAAGTACACCAGATATTTTCATGTCCTAGGCTATCATCATGACATAAAAATGAAAAAAACTAAAGTGTTTTCACCTAAAGATATCATTTTGATCACACTTAAAATAGCAATCGTATCGATTATCATATCCGTTAACGATACTTCCTGGTTTGCCCAAAGCACGTTCCCCCTGTGGGCAAAGTCTAGAAGAGATAGATCAGTAGTTCCTTCTTAACATACCAACTGTAGACAGGTTGTGAAAATGGGGAAGTTATCCACTAGAGGATAATTTCGTCTTAACAACTCAGAAAGTATTAGAGGTAACTATCTGAAAAATGCGTAACAGTCAACGATAACAATTGGCATTAAGATCTCGAGGGAGTGTGCTAATTGAGAATAAAACTTGCTTAACATGAAGAAGATAAAAGAGCGTATCTTGCTCGTTCAATTCTCGGTGCGCCAGAGGATAGGTTTCTTACTTCAATTTAACATTCCAGAGATTTTCCGTTTTTAACTCGTGAATTGCGCGCATGCACAAGAGCGAGTTGTAGATACGATATGAGGAATGGCACTCGCTCGCTCGCTCGACTGGTCGATTCCTGTAAACTTTTTTTTCGATTTTAGGCTTTTGAGTGTATTTGATAGTTTTTGGCGAGCAATAAACAAACGAAATGGCGACCTTTGTTGCTAAGAATAGTGGTGGGGTGACAAAGAAGCCAATGATAATCTTAAAATAATTTTTTTTTTCGTTTTAGTTTCAACAAGCGGCGCCAGCGACTGGCAGGCATGCAAGGATTCACACTGAAATAACAGAAAAACCTTCGTTTTTCATAAAATTGTAATTTACAATCCTAGAACTTGAAAACAATCCGAAGATTCATTGAAAATATCACTTACTGCGAAGCGCTCGGAGTTTACAGATGTTCAAAAGCTTTTTCTGTTACGGCGTGAGATCGAGGACAAAATCGATCATTACGTTTCGTATCGTGAGTTTTTCCTGTGATAAACAACAGAAGATGCCGGCGGCTAACGAAATTACAAGTTAACACGAAAATCAAATAACACCTAAACAAACAATTTTAGCTACCGATTTTCAGTGAATTTTTAAGGAACAATTTTCTTTTAAGTTTCAAGACAATTTGAAAATACATATTACGTACTAAAATGCGAAAGTTATACACCACAAAATTGATAAATAGGCCTGACATGAAATTCTATCTTGTTATTGATTATACGTTGCCTAGCACGTGACTAAAATCTACCCAGGCGGAGATCCAAAATGACGGTGGCAGTCTTAGCTTAGTTATATCACTCAAAACTCGTTCCCGTTTGTCTCATTTGATAAAGACGGAATCGTTAATGTTTTCATTAAGAAAATATTGCCTTGATTTTCTAATATTTACAATGATAGACAGAAAATTCACTTTTCACCCACATTTACTTTCAACCTTTTCTTTTGAACCAGAAACAGAAATGATATATGTTTGAAACACACGATATCATCCACCCTTGTCAAATGCAATAGCATGATCATTTCAATTGTAATGCCTTCTTATCCCGACGTTACTTTGTTTCTTTGCTACATTAGCGAACACTGAACTACTGCTCGTACTCTCGATATGACAATCAACCACAAAATTCCCGAAACCAGATAACATTAAACATAATCCAAAAAATCATATGTCAATTCACGAGTTTGCTCACAGAGCACTTTGATTAACTAGGCGATGATAAAATCTCCCTTTAAATTTTCCGTGAACTTTTTTCAAATAACCATGCACATTAAGTTTCTCTTAAAAAGATCCTTTTAGCGGGCCATATATTTTTTTATTTTATAATGCTCTACTAAACACCAAGTTTAATTCGGAAAGACTGACATCTCTAGCCCCCGATCATGTCTTCAGGATTGTACGTGGGACTTGCGTCTATTTCCTTATAAACCTCATAACTTGACACGACGTGTGTTTTTATCATTTTATTCACTTTTCGCAACCGAGAAAGCGGCAAACTGCTTATAAAAAATGATCGTATACAAAGTGATATTCACCACCTGTTTCCCGAAAGCTGCTACAATGCGTTGAGTTGATGAATACGGGGTGATAGTCGCGCCGGAGCGAAAGACCCTCGGCGCAGAGCGAAAAAAGGAGAGAGGCCTGGGTCAAGTTACGAATTGTTATCTCAGACGTAGGATCTCTTTACCTTCCTGTGAAAGCTCTTTTTCAAAATCTGTTTTAAGTCTTTTCGATAGCCTCTACAGCAAATAAAACAAATGCAAGGGTTTATAGCACAATGTGAGTGAGCAAGAAAAAAAGCGGTATGCGCGAAGTATTGAAAACCGCAAGACTTGATCATGGAGGTGTTCTGTGGAAAATAGACCATGAAATAACTAATGGTGTAGGGAATTCGGCATATTATAAACGCCATCACGATAGCAATGGACATCTTCAGCACTTTCCACTCCCTCTCTGCTCGATGTGTTAAGGCATTAGCTGATTGCTCGCCTGGAGTCATCTGGGACTTGAGTTTTAAAATAATTATAACGTAAAGTAAAATAGTAACAAAGAGAGGAATGAAGAAAATTAAAATAGAACCAGCACAGATATAGGTTTCAAAGGGAAAGGAATCCTCAAAAGTTTTCTTCCACTGTGGTTCACACTTTTTTTCTTCCGAATGTTCCATTAGCGAAAAGGCGAAGAGATATGGTAAATGAAGAGCCATTGAGATAGTCCAAGTAGCGATAATGGAGAGAGCGCAGAACTTTGAGCCGAGTGGGGAACGGAAGGGAAATACCACTGCTCTATATCGTTCCATTGCTATCAAAACCACGCTCAAAATTGACACAGCGTTGGAGGCATCTGCTAAGAAGGGAACCAGCTTACACAGTGTTTCTCCAAGACGACCGCTGACTGACCAGAAGTATTGTCCTCGATATAGCTGCGTCAAGTTGTTTGGAAACAGGAAAATCGGATACAACAGATCGGATATGGCCATGTTGGCGATGAAAAGTTTGGTAGATTTTCTCAAGGTTTTCGAGCTGTAGACTGTGATCCCCATAAAGATATTGCCAGCCAGCGAAACAATCGATAACAGACAGTAAGCGAATGTTTCTCCGATTTTTTGCGCCGTAGGATTGATGCATTGCGGTGAGGTTATAGCTGAGTGTGTTCCACTCAGAGATGTGTTCAAATTCGCCGACATTTTTCCTGTACTGACTGTTAAGTACTTAGCATGACGCTCTCTCTTATAGTAAGCCGTTTACCAGACATGACCATACATTATAAATATACAAGCTGTCATAAATTTTAGTCGTGATCTGAATTTAATGCCTTAAGCTGCAAGTCACATCATGCATATGTAAAGCACGAATGTGGGTTTATTCTGAAACAAAAATTGCTTGTTTTAAGTTCGCATAGGAATATTTTTTCTGACGGAAAAAAAAAGTTCATCTTTCGATTTAACAAATATTGGTGTCAATAAGCGAGCTTTGCTAAGATTTCACAAGGCTATCTATTTTAAGGTCAGCTTATCAACTACATATCGATATTAACTTCTCCTTCTCCATATAATCTAACTACTAGTTTCAGTAGTGTTCTTAGCTGCGAGGATCTTCTAATTTCATTTCAACTTCTGACTTCTTGAATGACAGATACATGTTTCTGTTGAAATGTGAAAGTACTTACAAACCATCGTGTATAAAAATACCCTTATTAAGTCAAAATATAACAATATATGTGAAGAAAAACAGTTAGTATGTTCACTAAGTGATCATAGCACAACAGGTGCTAAACGTCTTTGACTTATTTGTTCCTTTTCAGCTATCACATTATCTTTTATGTTTGAAACGCAAAGTATGTCGCTTTGATGACAAATTCTACCTTATATTTGTAGGTTTAAAATCTATCTTTTTTTCGGCGAGAGAAAGAGTTACGATTATAATTTTCAAGCCACAGAACTGTAAACTCATGGTCACCTGATTTTAGTACAGTCGAACCTCGATTATCCGGACTCGGTGGGACTTGGGTAAATAGTCTGGATAATCGAGAGTCCGAATAATCGAAAATATGAATATTAATGAGACAATGTAAACAAAAGAAATAAAGATAACACATTTTTAATTCTAAAAGTTTGCTTCCCTGTTCTTGCGTATATCAGAAATCTGTTGCTTGCTGCTACGAAATTCAAGCGCTAAATTTGTTCCTTTTTCTCCTTTATCTAAACGTGAAATAATTATTTGTTTATCTTTTATCGAGAGTACAGATCGCTTTCGCTTCGTAGACATGTTGTCGTTTTGAGTTATGATCGTCTCATGTGTTTACATAACCCACGCTCATCGAACTGATCAAGCATGACTTCCCTTAGCAACAAAACAATACTGAACCAATCAAAATTCATAAAGGGGTAAGTTTCTAAAGAAACTGTGATGCTGCGTCAATCGCTCTGACGAAGGGCTAACGCTCGAAACGTCAGCTTTTTTACCCTCTACGGTGGCTAATTTACGTTTTCAACCCAGTTGTTAACACTAAATTACCTACAATCAAAATTCAGCTGAACGCATTAGAATGCTTTTTGTCTCTTTTTGTCTCCGAGCGCTCGATCTTTCGAAAGCGAAGCGTGTAATGCGCCGTTTTAAACGCAATTTTCCTGACTTTAAACATAATTTATGAATTTTTTTACCTCCTAAAGTTTTTAACATCTAAGGTCATTAATATTCATGAAAAAAACGGGAGCAGAGAAAAAGTCCGGATAATTGAAAAGTCCGGATAATCGATGTCCGGATAATCGAGGTTCGACTGTACATCATATGGGAGGGTCTTTACAGGCAGACATGCCAGCCTTAGACGCTATCGGAAAATGTCAAAAACACTCCTCAAAGGAACCGCATTGTCGATTCTTTGGCGGTTTCCAAAGCCTTTTTCGACCCCTAAAAGGTAAGAGCCCTGAAAAAATTGGCTGTCACTGAATAATAATTGAAATGTCTCTTTCGAACAGCTTGTCTTTCGTTAGCGCAACCATTTCACTTGGATCTCCTGCAATTTCTCAAGATTTACAATGGTCTATGTTGTTGAAAATTATCTGTATAACCCATGCCAGTTGGTACTTTAACTCGCAGTCACTGTTTGGGAATTCGTGATACGATCCCCTCTCCCCTACCCAGTTTCTATTTTATTGTATTTTTTTTTGGGGGGGGGGGCGGGTGGGTGGGAAGGAGCGTTGCCAATTGCTGCGAAGAAGACTTCCGTTGGCGGTTATTTTAATTTAGTACCCTATGTCATAAATCTTTTTCTGAAATTATCGTGTCTGCAATCGGTTCACATAAAGGATGCGGCTTCTTACGCTTGCGAACGGGAGAAGTGGACTCGATTCATTCGGATCCTTAGGAAAGATTTCGTCCCCTCTAAGTAGTCACCGATATGCTAAGCGCATTTCGACGAAATCTTCAACTTAATGACGAAAGTGAAAGTTTTAGTGCAGTAAAACTTATTGGGAAGAAAAGGACTTAAAATAATTCAGACTTCGACAGGGATTCATTTCCTCGTCATTAGCTGATTATACTTAAAACTTCTGTCCCTGCAATAAATCTGACTGCAGTTTGGTTACTCGAGTTTCTAAACAAAGAGGTGGCTGATCGCTTAATGGGCGAAGGTTTGATGCGTTATTCTGTACATGAAAACTTTGGAAGACGATTTTATACTGAATTGCTTGTTGCGGCTATACCTTTTGAAAATCGTTTCAAACCTGTTGAAGTGGCATAAATAATCCTCATCACAGGCCTTTCATCTGCTTCAGCACGAAGAAAGTGATCTTATTACAAGCAGCTTAAGCTATACTGATAAAAAGGGGGTCAGTAGATGAAGAGCCCCTGCTCCCGCCCCACCCCACCCTTTCGATGCAATCTGGATTTTTCGCTGTGACGTTTTCTGTAAGGTTTAGGCTGTTTAAAATTCCTATGTATGAGCCGGAGTGAGGATTAAGCTAGATAAAAGATAAATGTTGTAGTGTATTTTCCTTCTTGTAAAATAGAGAGGAGGGCGCCAAAAGAAGTGGAACAAGCACCGAAATTTAGAACTATTGGAAAAAAAAACATGAAATCAGCACAGAATAGTTTTTACAGGGCTTCAACCGCTTTTTTTTTTTAATTAAGGTAATATCGTGGTAATTGATAGAGTAAAAAAAGAAGAAGAAGTTTCTTCAAGTTGAGCTTAGTTTAGATATTGTATCAAGTCTCTCTAGACATTTCTACTGAATTACATTATCGTGTAAGAGCTCCCCTGCCATCTATATGTTTTACTTTTTAGCAGCTTCTAACGACTCTGTCAGTTTGAAATAGAAATCTGTTCTCTCCTGCACATGAAGCTTGGGTTGACCATTCTCCTCAAATTTTAGTACCCGTGGTTTGTCACTCAGGTATGACTTCAGAAAAAACTCCGGGGCTCGTTCAAACCGAGGCATCTTGTAAAACAGAACCTCTGGGTGAGCCTTGTTGACATCTAGCAAGTTAATGAACTGACTTGGAGGCGGGTCAATCTCCTGCAGTCGAATATAAACACACAAAAAAAACTTTAAAAATGTATCAAATAAGCTTCTTCGTGAATGTAGGGCAAAGTGGATTATTTCTCTCGCAAACTGAGATCGCGAAAGTTGCCTACCTTCATAACCACAGTGTTTTGTTCTTTATCTATCGCCATAATTTTCCCAGTGCTTGCGTGCTCCAAGATGATAACATGAAAGGCGACATCCTTCATTGGATCATAATCAAGGATGTCATGGACTTTGAAATAAGCTATCAAAAAAAAATTACAATTATGACAAAGAGAGATTCATAAGCACAATTATACCATTTTAACATATTAAAGCAACAGAACGCGTAATGTGCGACGGTATTACACTAGAGAATACGGAAATATAGCTGAGAAATGGATGGCTGCACGAACGATCTAAACTTTGATATTTTTTTCTCCTTAAATTGGATTTGACTTTATAGAAAATGAACTTCGAAGCGCATCCGATTCTTTTGATGGCCATTTTTACTAACCTTTGTCATCGGGAACGTCCACACCTGAAAGCACTTTATCGTCGTCGACATATATATAGTGATCGCCGGAGGGGACCTTCAATAACTTAAACTTTTGGGTGTGCGTTTTCCATCGTCGCCTTTGAGTTGGATCCGTCGGAGGCTTCGGAGGAGGGGGAGTCTCCTAACAATTAAGTTGTAACCTTAATCAAGACTTTTGCGTGGTACGTAGAGTCAGGCGGGAAGCAAATACACACGCTAAGGCCGGCGAGTGGAAGTTCAAACCTCGAGGAGACTATACTCTTTCGAGTGGCTTATTTCCGCGGTAATATTTTTCGTGGGTATTTAAGTGCGCGATTGTTTTTATCACCGGTAAATATTGTGAAATCTAAGTACCACGAAAACCGGTAACATTAAGACTAAGTTCAGACTAGATGAAGTTAATCTTTGAGGGAACAATTTATAATGATCACAGCATTTTGAACTTTAGAATGGAATTGATCATGACGAGATTGAAACGTTTTGGGTAATTAAGATTTCCTTTTACCACAAGGTATATGCTTATTTTCATGATTCGGTTACACGAGCGGCATTTCTGGAGCTAAATTATGTCCCTTGCAACGGAATACAGTACTGTACTGGGAATTTTTAACTGTAAAAAGAGCCGTGTTTACGGTTTCACGGTTTTCGTTTTTGCTCACTACTTGCGCGCTTTTCGTATTAGAAACTCTTCAAGAATGAAATTGGACCAAATTGATGGAAAAGTTTAAAACATCGTACAAGCTTTTAACAAATAAGCTTTTGTCCTCAGCCAAGTTAATACAATAGCAGATATAAATGTCATTTTAGGGGAATTCTAGCCTTATATAACCCCTTGCCGTCAAGTTATATCTTCAACTCACTCTATACGTCCACAACCTTTCGGTTTTTAACGATCGAGACTAACATTATAAAAGGACTCTATTGGGCTTCAGTTCTCCGCTGAATTCTCAGACAGATGTATAAACTAAGCGTGGTGCTACCTTTCGGTTTCAAATCAAAGCCTTGACGATTTCGACTCTGTGTTTACGTCATGAAAAACAAAAAAATCTACAGCGCTAATGAATCTTAGAAAACAAGTATGTTCACCGATAAACATCGATGGCCTGATTTCAATTTTATTTGGCTTTGAAGCTGCGTGAAATTTGGGAATTCAGAAAATAAATACAAACACTCTTTCTTTTTCGTTGTATTCCAGTCTCCTAAATCGATCATGATCCTATCCATGAATAATTTAAAACAAGACTGAAATTTGAGAGGATCGATTATTCAAGCCTTAAGCTATTTTATCGGTAACTAATGAATTATTCTGAGTTTAATCGACGATTCTTAGAACGCGAAGACGCGATAAAGGTTGTAAATTCTACTCAAAATGTTAGATGCCGTAAACATGTTGGTTATTCGAATTTCGCTCTAGCTTATAAATACAATCGGGAATGAATCTTTTGACATAAACACGCTCCGTACCTCTGTCAAGCAATCCAAAGATCTGTCCTCAATCGGCATCGCAGTGAGTGATCAATTTGCAACAAATGTGTACCTCTCGTAGTCCTCCCAAAGACCGCTGCACGATAAATTGATGTCAAAGGCAAAATGACTCTTTTTGTACTCACCATCGAAAAGCGAAAATAAGGCATTTGATAAAAACAGTTCGTATAACCGGAAGACCGAGCGAAAACAAAATGTTTACATCATTGTTATTTTAGTACAGGAGACAACTTTTTATTTTTCACTCCTTTCACCGTCGAGAATGCCCATTGGGTGGTTAATCCTGGAGAATTTGAAATATCAATTCATGGTTATTAAGCTAACGAGAAGGACAATTATTTAAGAGAAGAAAGTTTAAAAAAAAGCTTTTGGGTCATCCTGAAGAAATAAACCCTCTGTCAAATTCAAAACTTAGCAAAAGAACTAAAAAAAATTACCACGTGGATATTAGTGTTTATTAAAGTCGCTTTCTAATTTTGTTTTCTTACAGTTCTTGTTGACGTGTTCCTTGTTTTAGCACAATCATAATCCAAACGTTTCGTTTTCAAATACACCCGAGCCAAATAAAATGACAAAATTTACATATTGATAATTCAAAACTGATGATAATTTGTCACCATTCAATCACTATCTCACCTTTTGCTATTCAAGATTTTTGTTTCTTACGGCCTAGGTCGTACAACAGCCCAAACCAAAAATTAGGCAGCTGGAATTGAAATCTGATCAGAGAAACTGCGAAAAATATACGCGCAGTGAGACTGAAAAAGGGCGATTGCGTAAGACAAGGCACTGGGGCTAAATTCGATTTGTAACCGTTGCATGAAATAGTTGAAAGTAAATTTGAAATTGCGCGAAAAGGGATGAATGTTGTGATAGAACTATATGTTGCAATTTGCGCGCCAACAACAGCGGTCTGATGATTATGACAATGAAGGTAATGGTCGAAAAGGTTTATAGCCAAGGGAGCTTGTAAACGTGCGAGGTTTATGACCGGAATGAAAAAAAAGCTTTTGAATCGAGCTAAAGCACTTTTGATCAAAAGACGTTCCTCATTTACTGTTTTTTAATTAAGCTTTAAAACGTCAGATAAAATTGAAGACATTTCACGTTACTGGAATGAAACAAACAAAAGTTTTATGTCGGGGGGGGGGGGGTGGGGAAGGAAGGTTGCGGCTAATAATCGGATCTATCTCCTGCTTACAGATGAGTGGACCCGTAACTGAGAGGGCTTAAAGAGGGGGGGAGGGGCAGGAGTTTACGCGGGTGAAGTTTACGGGAGGGGCAGGAGTTTACGGTATAGCATTAGTCAGACTATGTGCGTGTACATGGAAATATCGGCAGAGGAGTTACTTGTGGCAGTCTTAATCAACCAGTTATATCAAGCTTGTTGCTGTAGTCGAGCGCAAATTTGAGCCATCCATTTTTTTTCGTGGAGAAGAGATCCTATCACAGACAGCTTAAGCTCTGTAAAAAAGATTGGGTGGAAACCTCATTCCTTCCCCCCCCCCACCCCCACCTCACCCACCTCCTCCAGTCCTTTCAACAAATAAGTTGAGTTAAGTTCAGGCAAAAATGAACAAATTTTTATGGTGTGTCAGCCTTTTTAAAAAAACAAGAACAAAAACAGCATTGACAGGTTAGGATCAAACCGGTTTCCAGATAAAGAATCATACTATCCAAGTTTTTTTTAAATAAAATTTATTCGCCAGGTATCTAACATGCGTTTCCTGGATGAAAATTTTGTTACTAGGTGCTATTACTTGTCGCAAGGGACGTTTCTGATTTAAAATAAATTTTAAAAAAGTCGTGTTAAAAGTTGAGAAAAGTTGACAGCGCCAATGTGGGGCAATCAGTATATCTTGAAGAGACTTTCTGGATGATCTGGCTGTGCAACCATAGTCTTCTTTAGCTCGCCATTTTCGTCAAATCCAACGATTCGCTGTTTATCATCCAGAAGTGACTGCAAGTAAAACTTACCATAACCGTCTTTCCCCCATCTCTTGTGAAACAGAATTTTGTAAGGAGCCACTTCTACGCTCTTCTTCATGAGCTTATCCAGAGGCTCTGAAGGATCCTATCAGAATAGACAAAAATTAGGCCAAAATCAAAGCTGTAACTCAATCTGTATTGTATCATGCATATAAGCGATAGATCCAGATAATGAATTGAAATTGAGCGTAAATGTTAACTCTCCGGGCAACTAGACGATTGGCACGCACAGGCAAAACAGATGATAATTATGATATGTAAGTTTTAGCCTCCTTATTCATTTAAAGAGTTGAAATTGTAGGGAAGCTTACGGTTATTCGTCGTACTTGCGGTGAATCATAATCGTTTGTCTCATAATTAAGTCATTCGATAAGCGACTGGACAGGCGTCACCTTATGCATCGCCTGAAGAAGACTTGCATTATACCGTCAAAACACCGCGATCCACATCGGAATGGACTTCATCGATAGACAAACGAATTTATTTCACCACAAAGTTTAAAAGTTCTTTGATCAATGACCAAAGGTGATTAAATTTCTAGCCGACTGAAATCGTTTCAGTCACGCACCTCTAGAGTGACAGTGTCATTCTCTTTGTCAACGGCCATAACTTTGCGAGATTTTGCGTGCTCCAAAATAACAACTGTTCTACCATCGGCATCCGGGGTTTGGTACATCTTAAAATTAGCTATAAAAAGAGCATAATGAGCCGTCATAGTAAATGAAATATTAAATGCCCTTAAGAGAAAATCAACAACTGATATTCTCTTCTTGCCCTTCATGATTCAAACATTAGCTGGCGATTCACAAAATATTGCTACAGTGCGACTTTAATTCACTCGAAAAAGTTGAAGACCCAGGATTACACTTTCGTTAGCCGCTATGAATAATGTGGATAAACCTAGTATTAATGATAATATTAAAAATGATGATAATGGTAACAACAATGATTGTGATAACAATAACAATACTTATGCTCCATTAAATATTTTTGCTAGTGCGCGAATTGTATAAACGAATCCCATGACTGAATATCCCTCCCCCCCAACGTGATATTCTCCGATTTTCAAACCTTTCGTCCACCACGATAAGTCTTCGTTTAAAATTTGATTCAAGATCTGAGAGAGCGTTTTGTGGTTGTTACATAAGGAGGGGTATATTTTTTGTTCATTAAGTCGTACCAGTGAACAGTCAACAGCTCCGCTCTCGGAAAACTGTTCGCATCTTGGAACAGGTACTGTCCGTGGACAAAGATCCGTGCATATTTTTGCCCCAAATAGAGGATGTTGTTATACGAACTACAGATGACACAATACTGATAACATGAATGACACCAAAAAAATTCAGATAATGATGATGATAGCAGCAATAGTAATAATGGTAATAATATACCGTTTCATTGACTAACAACAAATTGCTTCCAAAGGATACTTAAAGGAGACTTAAAACATGCCTACCTTTGTTTAACCACGCTTATAAATTCTTACGCGAATATTCTCGCAAACCGAAGGATAAAGGATGATATCTTTGACGAGCAATCTTCCTAACACCATATTATTTTTTTTCTCACCGTTGTCAGTGTCGCCTCCATTTGCTTTCAACGAATTGCCATCGAAATGCAAGAAGGGGCCTAGTTCTTTGCCAGTGTCTCTCTGATAATGAAGCTTACATATGACTCCTGGACCCCATAGGGGAGTACCTCCACCTATGACTGTATATGAACCAACAAAGGACATTGCGATGAGTGATCTCTTCGCAACAAAAGTGTACTTCTAGGAAATCTCTGAAAAGTTTCTTCCCGACGAAGCTATATCTATGACTGTAACATCTGTTTTATATACGGTATACCCGCCCTCTAAAAGTGAAATAACGTGCGTTTATTTACAACGCTTTTTAATGTTAGAGCATGCACCTCACGAAAACGAAAACTTGTCATCATCGCTAATTTACCACAAGTCACGTGGTGTAAATTTACGATGATAGCAGGATCAGAATTGCTTTCCACTGAGTTTTGTTTTCGGACCCGTATTCCTGCCTAAAGTATTTCCTGTTTATAGGCAAGTCATCGTCCTGAAGTTTCGTTTTAAAGTTCCGAGGGGAATGCAAAAAAATTTCCACTGACGAGGCGAGAGGAAGGCGAGCGCGAGCATCGAAACCCGATTTGTGTTTCTTGTACTATGAAATTATATCGAGTGGAATTTTGCTTACCGTTTACTAATTACATGTATTGCTGACACGTTCCTTGTTGAGGTTTCGTTTTCAAATCCACCAAAGCCAGAAAAATAAAATTTAATAAATTACGAATCTTAAACGAATGATTACATTCTTTCATTGCAAAGTTTTCGATATATCGCGCGTTCTGACCAGCTGAAACATCGCGTTTCATGAGAGTACAGATTCAATAAGTAACGGAGTCACTCCATCGACCAATTTGCACAATGACTGACCGATAAGTTAACGCTAAGCTTACTGTTGTAGTCAAACACGCACATACGCACATATACATCCATTGATTTGTTTTGTGAAGAGATCCTATCAAAGGCGGCCCAAGCTCTTTAAGAATGATCGAGCCCCCCTCTCCTACTTTCTCCAGTCCTTTCAACCGAAATAAGGTATTTTTCAAGCGAAAATTTACCTAAAAATCATATTTTTTAAATGAGGCTTCTTCTTTTTCAAATGCAACTTGCTATTTCAAAAATAACAAAGCATTCCACTTCACAAATTAGTCTCTATAAAGGCAAACTACTCAAGGTTCTTTATAACGGTTTACTCGCTCATTATCCAATATGCGTTTCTGCATTGTTTCATGGATAGAAAGTTCGTAATTAGATTTAATTACATGTAGACAGGAACGTTATTAGTTTAAAATTATTTGAACATAAAATTCGTTTTAAAAGTTGTCGACAAAAGTTGGTAGCGCTCTGCTAAGACGACCAGTGCATTGTAAAGAGGCTTTCTATACTATGCGGCTGTCTACAAGAAGTCTCCATCTGGTTGCCTTGAATGACAAATTCAATAATTTTATCGTTATTGTATGACTTCAAGTAAAACTGCGAACTACCTTCTTCTCGCGCTATCTGATAGAGCAGAATTTCCTTATAAGAATCTCTGACAGCTTTCAACGTTCTGAAATCTTTTAAAGCTGAGTCTGAAGGATTAGCCAATCAGAGTAGACAAAGAGCGACAAAGCCGTGAGAGGCTCAAGACATAAAATTATAATGAAGGGCTTCAGTAATACACTGGCTGGCCCCTTTAATGAAAAATGATAAACAGATTAAATAAAGTTAATAATAAACAGATCAACGATTAAAAGTAACCAAAAAATCCCAAACAGTTGGAAAGGACACAACCAAACTAAGTTCAAAATCGAGCAAAAAAATGACTCTTTGAAAGTATGAAAAGTAAGGACGTGACACGGCGGCGAGTCAACTTTGTGTTCTGGTGAAATTTGCTTTCTAATTTTGTTTTCTTACAGGTCTTGTTGACGTGTTCCTTGTTTTAGCACAATCATAATCCAAACGTTTCGTTTTCAAATACACCCGAGCCAAATAAAATGACAAAATTTACATATTGATAATTCAAAACTGATGATAATTTGTCACCATTCAATCACTATCTCACCTTTTGCTATTCAAGATGTTTGTTTCTTACGGCCTAGGTCGTACAACAGCCCAAACCAAAAACTAGGCAGCTGGAATTGAAATCTGATCAGAGAAACTGTTAAAAATATACGCGCAGTGAGACTGAAAAAGGGCGATTGCGTAAGACAAGGCACTGGGGATAAATTCGATTTGTAACCATTGCATGAAATAGTTGAAAGTAAATTTGAAATTGCGCGAAAAGGGATAAATGTTGTGATAGAACTATATGTTGCAATTTGCGCGCCAACAACAGCGGTCTGATGAATATGACGACAAAGGAGGTGATGGTCGAAAAGGTTTATAGCCGAGGGAGCTTGTAAACAAGCGAGGTTTATGACCGGAATGAAAAAAAAAAGGTTTTGAATCGAGCTAAAGCACTGCTGATCAAAAGACGTTTCTCATTTACTGTTTTTTTAAACTAAGCTTTATAACGTCAGATAAATTGAATTCATTTCACGTTACTGGAATGAAACAAAACAAAAGTCTTATGTCTCGGGGGGGGTGGGGAAGGAAGGTTGCGGCTAATAATCGGATCTATCTCCTATTTACAGATGAGTGGACTTGTAACTGAGTGGGCTTAAAGAGGGGGAGGGGGAGGGGGAGGGGGCAGGAGTTTACGCGGGTAAAGTTTACGGGGGGTTTACTGAGGGGTAGGAGTTTACGGTATAGCATTAGTCAGACTAATTTTAGTGTACATGGAAATATCGGCAGAGGAGTTTCTTGCGGCAGTCTTAATCAACCAGTTATATCAAGCTTGTTGCTGTAGTCGAGCGCAAATTTGAGCCATCCATTTTTTTCGTGGAGAAGAGATCCTATCACAGACAGCTTAAGCTCTATAAAAAAAAAAATTGGATGGAAACTTTACCCCCTCCCCCCCCACCCCCATCTCACCCACTTCCTCCAGTCCTTTCAATCACTAAGTTAAGTTAGGTTCAGGCAAAAATGAAAAAATTTTCATGGTGCGTCAATCTTTTCAAAAAAAAAAAAAACAAAAACAGCATTGACAGGTTAGGATCAAACCAGTTTTCAGATAAAGAATCGCACTATCCAAGGTTTTTTTTAAGATAAAATTTTATTCACCAATCATCCAGCATGCGTTTCCTGGATAACAATTTTGTTACTAGGTGTTATTACTTGTCGCAAGGGATGTTTCTGATTCAAAATAAATTTAACATAAAAGTCGTGTTAAAAGTTGAGAAAAGTTGACAGCGCCAATCAGTGCTCTTTCTTGCAGAGATCTACACTCTCTGTCTTGAAGAGACTTTCTGGCCCTGCAACAGTAGTCGTCTTTAGCTCGCCATTTTCGTTAAATCCAACGATTTTATCATTCTTAAGTGACTTCAAGTAAAAATAGCCAGTACCGCCTTTCTCCCATATCTTGTGAAACAGAATTTCCGGATGGGACTTGTCTATGCTCCCGTTCTTATCAATGATCTGACGTAGATCCACTGGAGGATTCTATCAGAATAGACAAAAATTAGGCCAAAATCAAAGCTGTAACTCAATCTGTATTGTATCATGCATATAAGCGATAGATCCAGATCATGAATTGATATTGAGTGTAAATGTTAACTCTCCGGGCAATTGGACGATTGCCACGCACAGGCAAAACAGATGATAATTATGATATGTAAGTTTTAGCCTCCTTATTCATTTAAAGAGTTGAAATTGTAGGGAAGCTTACGGTTATTCGTCGTACTTGCGGTGAATCATAATCATTTGTCTCATAATTAAGTCATTTGATAAGCGACTGGACAGGCGTTACTTTCCGGATCGCCTGAAGAAGACTTGTAGTATACCGTCAAAACACCGCAATCCACATCGGAATGGACTTCATCGAAAGACAAACGAATTTCTTTCACTACAAAGTTTAAAAGTTCTTTGATCAATGACCAAAGATGATTAAATTTCTAGCCAACTGAAATGGTTTCAGTCACGCACCTTTAGAGTGACAGTGTCATTCTCTTTGTCAACGGCCATAACAGTGTCATCTTTTGTGTTAATGGTCACAACTCCCTGAGATTTTATGTGCTCCAAAATAACAATTATTTTCTGATCGGAATCCGTGACTTCGTGGATCCTAAAAATACCTATAAAAAGAGGATAAAGAGCCTTCAGAGTAAATGAAATATTAAATGCCCTCAAGAGAAAATCAACAACTGATATTCTCTTCTTGCCCTTCATGATTCAAACATTAGCTGGCGATTCACAAAATATTGCTACAGTGCGGCTTTAATTCACTCGAAAAAATTGAAGACAGGATTACACTTTCGCTAGCCGCTATGAATAATATGGATAAACCTAGTCTTAATGATAATGTTAAAAATGATGATAATGGTAATAATAATGATTGTGATAACAATAACAATACTTCTGCTCCATTAAATATTTTGCTCGTGCGCAAATGGTCTAAAGGAATCCCATGACCAAAAATCCCCCCCCCCCACGTGATATTCTCCGATTTTCAAACCTTTCCTCCACCACGATAAGTCTTCGTTTCAAATTTAATTCAAGATCTGAGAGAGCGTTTTGTGGTTGTTACATAAGGAGGGATATATTTTTTTGTTCATTAAGTCGTACCAGCGAACAGTCAACAGCTCCGCTCTCAGAAAACTGTTCGCATCTTGGAACAGGTAATGTCCGTGGACAAATATCCGTGCATATTTTCGCCCCAAATAGAGGATGTTGTTTTATTGTTTTTTTAGAGGGCACGGTAACGAATCTTGCGAATCTGATTGGTTCTTTACCCGGTCAGTATTTTCCTATCTCTGCCCACGGGCCACGGTAACGCTTTCGTGAATCGCCGAGTACATCCCAAATTTCGTTGTCATTTTTCATAAATATACCTTGTTCTCCGGCTGGGCAGTATTTTTAAGCAAACACGTCGGTCACTACCTCAAGCCGATAAATAACTTATGAATCCTCCCTTTTCTCTCTATCAAATCACTTTGGTTGACAGAAAAATATTGGTTTCAGAATGAATTTGTATAAACAATAGTGTCATTACGTTGGTTGACAAGCGGCCTAAAAACCGTCTGCAATTAATTTTAATCGTTCACAAAAAGTACCCAGAAAGTTGAAATGTGAGGTATTTGGTTACAGTTAAACTGAACGATGGAACTTTCATTCATTTAATATGTGAATTTTCTCGAGCAATTTGTTCATAGTAAAAAAAAAGCGAGCGAAGTTTTAATTCAAGTTCTACAACAAATATACGCTCCTGGTGAGTCTTTCCAATTCCGTTCAATTTGGACATTTGTACCTTAAATTGCACAACAGAAATTGAAGGAATTGAGAAAAGGCTGCATTAAATTCCTTTGTGTCTCGTTGGAGTGTGCCGTTCGAATTTAGTTTTTGTGAAGGAAAGATCAGAGTTAAACACGCCATTACAGCAAACAAACGAGCAAACTCTCACAACTTCAAAATAAAAAATTGAATTTACTCACAATTACTTTCCTCGCCGTTTACTTAATGAACAGAGGTAAATCTTCGTACATGAATGAATGGTCGATGAGAGTAAATAATACTTTCCGTTAGATCATTAACTGATTTTTAAGAAAAAATTGTCGTGACAGTCCTTGCCAAACTAGTTCTGTTGGTTTTCAAATGTTCCTACGCTTTTTTTTTCTTGCGCGCTCTCTAATTGACAGGTGTCAGATTGTGACAGATACTTGTAAAAATAATGTTTCAAAGTTTGTTTAGAAGCCTTTTAAATCACCTTTATCGTTACGGAAATGAAAATGTTTCGCTGAGGCATCTCTCTTAAATTTGCATCACCTCTATTTTAACTACCATTTACTCACTCAAAAATTGTTCAGTTTATGGAAGATCTTGCCGTATTTACGGCCATAAGTCATTCGGGTTCTTTCGGAAAGAATTTCGTCAAGTTTAAAAACAATAAATATGTTATTTACCGGCTAAGGTTAGGTCCGTATGGTGAAAAACTGTGACCGAGGTCTTGAAAATGCTGCCCTCGGCCTGCGGCCTCGGGCAGTATTTTCAAGACCTCGATCACAGTTTTTCACCATACGGACCTCCCAGCCGGCAAATAACATATATATACGAACTACTGATGACACAATAATGATAACATGAATGACACCAAAAAAATTCAGATAATGATGATGATAACAGCAATAGTAATAATGGTAATAATATACCGTTTCATTGACTAACAACAAATTGCTTCCAAAGGATATCAACCGGGACTTAAAACATGCCTACCTTTGTTTAACCACGCTTATAAATTCTTACGCGAATATTCTCGCAAACCGAAGGATAAAGGATGATATCTTTGACGAGCAATCTTCCTAACACCATATTATTTTTTTTTCTCACCGTTTTTAGCGTCGGGTCCATTTGCTTTCAACGAATTGCCATCGAAATGCATATAGTGACTTTTTTCTTCGCCCTCTTTTTTCTTACGAAGAAGCTGAATGCCTGCTCCAAACCCCCAAGCGGCATCACTTCCATCTATAACTGTACACGAACCAGCAGTGGTCATTGTGATGAGTGATCTCTTCGCAACAAAAGTGTACTTCTGGAAAATCTCTGAAAAGTTTCTTCCCGCCGAAGCTATATCTATGACTGTAACATCTGTTTTATATACGGTATACCCGCCCTATAAAAGTGAAATAACGTGCGTTTATTTACAACGCTTTTTAATGTTAGAGCATGCACCTCACGAAAACGAAAACTTGTCATCATCGCTAATTTACCACAAGTTACGTGTTGTAAAGTTACTAGGATATCAGGATCAGAATTGCTTTCCACTGAGTTTTGTTTTCGGACCCGTATTCCTGCTTAAAGTATTTCCTGTTTATAAGCAACTTATCGTCCTGAAGTTTCGTTTTCAAGTTCCGAGGGGGATGCAAAAATTTCCACTGACGAGGCGAGAGGAAGGCGAGCGCGAGCATCGAAACCCGATTTGTGTTTCTTGTACTGTGAAATTACATCGAGTGGAATTTTGCTTACCGTTTACTTATTATATGTATTGCGGACGTGTTCCTTGTCGAGGTTTCGTTTTCAAATCCACCCGAGCCAGAAAAATAAATATTTAACAAATTAAAAATCTTAAAAGAATGACTACATTCTTTTATTGCAAAGTTTTCTATATATCGCGCGTTCTGATTAGCTGAAACATCGCGTTTTATAAGAGTACAGATTCAAGAAGTAACGGAGTCACTCCATCGACCAATATGCACAATAACTGACCAATAAGTTAACTCTTATGTCGCGTTTTTTTTTGACAGACCTATCGCATGACCCGAGAATCGAATGTGATCACGAGCTCTTCGCTTTAGTTTATACAGAACTGGGGTCCTCTATGAGGTGATGTCAATGAGGTGATGCTTTTTACAAACCATAAATTGAGACTTTCGCCTTGAAGATCACTTGATCACTTGTATGGAGCAGGACTCTTATCTGTAACGGGGGGTATAGTAAAATGTATTTCCGGTATACAGGCGGTGGGGACTGTTATCTGGGGCGGGGGGGGGGGGGTGGGGTGGGCAGCGGAATATTATCAGATGTAGTTCCGGTATACAGATAGTTGGAACTCTTTTCTAATAGAAGGGGCGGATAATAATATTCCTGTTTACAGATGGGTGGGGAACTTTACCTGGGAGGGGTTTATGATATAGCATAAGTCAAAACCATAGCAGAATTCTCTGATATGATGGTTTATCAGCAGCCTAATTTTAGTTATAACAGGACAGTGCAGGCAGCAAGAATGTAACTGGAGCTGATATGATAGTTTGCGTGCATGAAATTATGAGCGGAGGATTCGTTTCTGCATTGTTTCATGGATAGAAAGTTCGTAATTAGATTTAATTGCATGTAGACAGGAACGTTATTAGTTTAAAATTATTTGAACATAAAATTCGTTTTAAAAGTTGTCGACAAAAGTTGGTAGCGCTCTGCTAAGACGACCAGTGCATTGTAAAGAGGCTTTCTGTACTGTGCGGCTGTTTACAAGAAGTCTCCGTCTGGTTGCCTTGAATGACAAATTCAATAATTTTATCGTTATTGTATGACTTCAAGTAAAACTGCGAACTACCTTCTTCTCGCGCTATCTGGTAGAGCAGAATTTCCTTATAAGAATCTCTGACAGCTTTCAACGTTCTGAAATCTTTTAAAGCTGAGTCTGAAGGATTAGCCAATCAGAGTAGACAAAGAGCGACAAAGCCGTGAGAGGCTTGGGACATAAAGTTATAATGAAGGGCTTCAATAATACACTGGCTGGCCCCTTTAATGAAAAATGATAAATAGTTTAAATAAAGTTAATAATAAACAGATAAACAGATAAACGATTAAAAGTAACCAAAAAAATCCCAAACAATTGGAAAGGACACAACCCAACTAAGTTCAAAATCGAGCAAAAAAATAACTCTTTGAAAGTATGAAAAGTAAGGACATAACACGGCGCCGAGACAGCTTCGTGTTATAGTGAAATTCGCTTTCTAATTTTGTTTTCTTACAGGTCTTGTTGACGCGTTCCTTGTTTTAGCACAATCATAATCTAAACGTTTTGTTTTCAAATACACCCGAGCCAAATAAAATAACAAAATTCACGCATTGATAATTCAAAACTGATGATAACAAAGTGTCACCATTCCATCACTATCTTACCTTTTGCTATTCAAGATTTTGTTTCTTACGGCCTAGGTCGTACAACAGCCCAAACCAAAAACTAGGCAGCTGGAATTGAAATCTGATCAGAGAAACTGCGAAAAATATACGCGCAGTGAGACTGAAAAAGGGCGATTGCGTAAGACAAGGCACTGGGGATAAATTCGATTTGTAACCATTGCATGAAATAGTTGAAAGTAAATTTGAAATTGCGCGAAAAGGGATGGATGTTGTGAGTGAACTATATGTTGCAATTTGTGCGCCAACAACAGCGGTCTGATGATTATGACAATGGAGGTGATGGTCGAAAAGGTTTATAGCCAAGGGAGCTTGTAAACGTGCGGGGTTTATGACCGGGATGAAAAAAATAAGTTTTGAATCGAGCTAAAACACTGTTGATCAAAAGACGTTTCTCATTTACTGTTTTTTTAAACTAAGCTTTAAAACGTCAGATAAAATTGAATTCATTTCAATATTGGGAGCAAAGTTTAAGTTAAAAAATGAACGTTACTGGAATGAAACAAAACAAAGTTCAGAAACTTCTCGGCTTTAGGATCATCTTATATCTTGGGGGGGGGATGGGGGAGGAAGGGTGCGGCTAATAATCGGATCTATCTCCAGTCACAGATGAATGGACCTGTAACTGAGTGGGCTTAAAGAGGGGGGGGGGGGGGCAGGAGTTTACGCGGGTGAAGTTTACGGGAGGGGCAGGAGTTTACGGTATTGCATTAGTCAGACTATTGTTCGCGTACATAGAAATATCGGCGGGGGAATTACTTGTGGCAGTCTTAATCAACCTGTTATATCAAGCTTGTTGTACCCTCACCCACTTCCTCCAGTCCTTTCAAACACTAAGTTGAGTCAACAAAAACAGCATTGACAGGTTAGGATCAAACCAGTTTCCAGATAAAGAATCACACTATCCAAGTTTTTTTTTTATATAAAATTTATTCGCCAATTATCTAGCATGCGTTTCCTGCATAAACATTTTGTTACTAGGTGTTATTGCTTGTCGCAAGGGACGTTTCTGATTTAAAATAAATTTAACATAAAAGTTGTGTTCAAAGTTGAGAAAAGTTGACAGCACCTAACTGGAACTATCAACGCAGTCTGCCCTGAAGAGACTTGCTTCCTCTTTTTCAGCAGTAGTACCCGTTGGCGTGCCGTCATTCTCAAATTTAACGAATCGGTCTGTACCATCCAGAAGTGACTTCAAGTAAAACCATTTACGACCAGGTATCCACCATTTCTTGTGAAACAGAATTTCCGGATGGGACTTGTCTATGCTCCCTTTCTTATCAATGATCTGACGTAGAGACACTGGCGGATCCTATCAGAATAGATAAAAATTAGGCCAAAATCAAAGCTGTAACTCAATCTGTATTGTATCATGCATATAAGCGATAGATCCAGATAATGAATTGATATTGAGTGTAAATGTTAACTCTCCGGGCAATTGGACGATTGGCACGCACAGGCAAAACAGATGATAATTATGATATGTAAGTTTTAGCCTCCTTATTCATTTAAAGAGTTGAAATTGTAGGGAAGCTTACGGTTATTCGTCGTACTTGCGGTGAATCATAATCGTTTGCCTCATAATTAAGTCGTTTCATAATTAAGTCGTTTGATAAGCGACTGGACAGGCGTCACCTTATCCATCGCCTGAAGAGGACTAGCAGTATGCCGTCAAAACATCGCGATCCACATCGGAATGGACTTCATCGAGAGCCAAACGAATTTATTTCACCAAAAAGTTTAAAAGTTCTTTGATCAATGACCAAAGATGATTAAATTTCTAGCCGACTGAAATGGTTTCAGTCACGCACCTCTAGAGTGACTTTGTCATCCTGTGTGTTAATGGCCATAACTTTGTGAGATTCTTCGTGCTCCAGAATAACAATAGTTACATCCTCGTTGTCCACACAATCCGGGGCTTCGTGGAATATAAAACTAGCTATAAAAAAAAGGATGAAGAGCCTTCCTAGTAAATGAAATATTAAATGCCCTCAAGAGAAAATCAACAACTGATATTCTCTTCTTGCCCTTCATGATTCAAACATTAGTTGGTGATTCACAAAATATTGCTACAGTGTGGCTTTAATTCACTCGAAAAAGTTGAAGACCCAGGATGTGTGTTAATGGCCATAACTTTGTGAGATTCTTCGTGCTCCAGAATAACAATTGTTTCTTCCTGGTTGTCCACGGCTTTGTGGATTTTAAAATTAGCTATAAAAGAAAGGATAAAGAGCCTTCAGAGTGAATGATGAAATATTAAATGCCCTCAAGAGAAAATCAACAACTGATATTCTCTTCTTGCCCTTCATGATTCAAACATTCGTTGACGATTCACAAAATATTGCAACAGTGCGGCTTTAATTCACTCGAAAAAGTTGAAGACCCAGGAATACACTTTCGTTAGCCGCTATGAATAATATGGATAAACCTAGTCTTAATGATAATATTAAAAATGATGATAATGGTAATAATAATGATTGTGATAACATTAACAATACTTATGCTCCATTAAATATTTTGCTCGTGCGCGAATGGTCTAAACGAATCCCATGACCGAATATTCCACCGCCCACGTGATATTCTCCAATTTTTCAAACCTTTCGTCCACCACGATAAGTCTTCGTTTCAAATTTAATTCAAGATCTGAGAGAGCGTTTTGTGGTTGTTACATAAGGAGGGATATATTCTTTTGTTCATTAAGTCGTACCAGCGAACAGTCAACAGCTCCGCTCTCAGAAAACTGTTCGCATCTTAGAACAGGTAATGTCCGTGGACAAATATCCGTGCATATTTTGGCCCCAAATAGAGGATGTTGTTATACGAACTACTGATGACACAATAATGATAACATGAATGACACCAAAAAAATTAAGATAATTATGATGATAACAGCAATAGTAATAATGGTAATAATATACCGTTTCATTGACTAACAATAAATTGCTTTCAAAGGACATCAACCGGGACTTAAGACATGCCTACCCTTGTTTAACCAGACCTATAAATTCTTACGCGAATATTCTCGAAAACCGAAGGATAAAGTATGATATCTTTGACGAGCAATCTTCCTAACACCATATTATTATTTTTTCTCACCGTTGTTCATGCCGTCCCCATCTGCTTTCAACGAATTGCCATCGAAATGCAAGTAGTGATCTTCTGGATCTTTATTCGTAGAATAAAGCTTGTACCTGCTATGACCCCATGAGGAATCACTTCCATCTATGACTGTACATGAACCAGCAGTGGTCATTGTGATGAGTGATCTCTTCGCAACAAAAGTGTACTTCTGGAAAATCTCTGAAAAGTTTCTTCCCGACGAAGCTATATCTATGACTGTAACATCTGTTTTATATACGGTATACCCGCCCTCTAAAAGTGAAATAACGTGCGTTTATTTACAACGCTTTTTAATGTTAGAGCATGCACCTCACGAAAACGAAAACTTGTCATCATCGCTAATTTACCACAAGTCACGTGGTGTAAATTTACGATGATAGCAGGATCAGAATTGCTTTCCACTGAGTTTTGTTTTCGGACCCGTATTCCTGCCTAAAGTATTTCCTGTTTATAGGCAAGTCATCGTCCTGAAGTTTCGTTTTAAAGTTCCGAGGGGAATGCAAAAAAGTTTCCACTGACGAGGCGAGAGGAAGGCGAGCGCGAGCATCGAAACCCGATTTGTGTTTCTTGTACTATGAAATTATATCGAGTGGAATTTTGCTTACCGTTTACTAATTACATGTATTGCTGACACGTTCCTTGTTGAGGTTTCGTTTTCAAATCCACCAAAGCCAGAAAAATAAAATTTAATAAATTACGAATCTTAAACGAATGATTACACTCTTTCATTGCAAAGTTTTCGATATATCGCGCGTTCTGACCAGCTGAAACATCGCGTTTCATGAGAGTACAGATTCAATAAGTAACGGAGTCACTCCATCGACCAATTTGCACAATGACTGACCGATAAGTTAACGCTTCTCTCGCTTTTTCCATGACCTGAAAATTGAATGTGATCACGAGCTTTTCGCTTCAGTTTATACAGAACTGGGGTCCTCTATGAGGTGATGTCAATGAGGTGATGCTTTTTACAAACCATAAATTGAGACTTTCGTCTTGAAGATCATCACTGGTATGGAGCAGGACTCTTATCTGTAAGGGGGGGGGGTATATTAAAATGTATTTCCGGTATACAGGCGGTGGGGACTGTTATCTGGGCAGGGGGGGTAGGCAGCGGAATATTATCAGATGTAGTTCCGGTATACAGATAGTGGGAACTCTTTCCTAGTAGAAGGGGGGCCGAAAATAATATTCCTGTTTACAGACGGGTGGAGAACCTTACCTGGGAGGGGTTTTTTTACCTGGTTCAAAACCATAGCAGAATTCTCTGATATGATGGTTTATCAGCAGCCTGATTTTAGTTATAACAGGACAGTGCAGGCAGCAAGAATGTAACTGGAGCTGGTATGATAGTTTGCGTGCATGAAATTATGACCGGAGGATTTGCTTGAGGCAGTCTTACTTCAAAGATTATGCTAAGCTTACTGTTGTAGTCAAACACGCACATACGCACATATACATCCATTGATTTGTTTTGTGAAGAGATCCTATCAAAGGCGGCCCAATCTCTTTAAGAATGATCGAGCCCCCTCTCCTACTTTCTCCAGTCCTTTCAACCGAAATAAGTTATTTTTCAAGCGAAAATTTACTAAAATTCATATTTTTTAAATGAGGCTTCTTCTTTTTCAAACGCAATTTGCTATTTTAAAAATAACAAAGCATTCCACTTCACAAATTAGTCTCTACAAAGGCAAACTACTCAAGGTTCTTTATAACGGTTAACTCGCTCATTATCCAATATGCGTTTCTGCATTGTTTCATGGATAGAAAGTTCGTAATTAGATTTAATTACATGTAGACAGGAACGTTATAAGTTTAAAATTATTTGAACATAAAATTCGTTTTAAAAGTTGTCGACAAAAGTTGGTAGCGCTCTGCTAAGACGACCAGTACATTGTAAAGAGGCTTTCTGTACTATGCGGCTGTCTACAAGAAGTCTCCGTCTGGTTGCCTTGAATGACAAATTCAATAATTTTATCGTTATTGTATGACTTCAAGTAAAACTGCGAACTACCTTCTTCTCGCGCTATCTGGTAGAGCAGAATTTCCTTATAAGAATCTCTGACAGCTTTCAACGTTCTGAAATCTTTTAAAGCTGAGTCTGAAGGATTAGCCAATCAGAGTAGACAAAGAGCGACAAAGCCGTGAGAGGCTTGGGACATAAAGTTATAATGAAGGGCTTCAGTAATACACTGGCTGGCCCCTTTAATGAAAAATGATAAATAGTTTAAATAAAATTAATAATAAACGGATAAACAGATAAACGATTAAAAGTAACCAAAAAAATCCCAAACAGTTGGAAAGGACACAACCCAACTAAGTTCAAAATCGAGCAAAAAAATAACCCTTTGAAAGTATGAAAAGTAAGGACGTAACACGGCGGCGAGACAGCTTCGTGTTCTAGTGAAATTCGCTTTCTAATTTTGTTTTCTTACAGGTCTTGTTGACGCGTTCCTTGTTTTAGCACAATCATAATCTAAACGTTTCGTTTTCAAATACACCCGAGCCAAATAAAATAACAAAATTCACGCATTGATAATTCAAAACTGATGATAACAAAGTGTCACCATTCCATCACTATCTTACCTTTTGCTATTCAAGATTTTTGTTTCTTACGGCATAAGTCGTACAACAGCCCAAACCAAAAATTAGGCAGCTGGAATTGAAATCTGATCAGAGAAACTGCGATAAAAATACACGCGCAGTGAGACTGAAAAAGGGCGATTGCGTAAGACAAGGCACTGGGGCTAAATTCGATTTGTAACCATTGCATGAAATAGTTGAAAATAAATTTGAAATTGCGCGAAAAGGGATGGATGTTGTGAGTGAACTATATGTTGCAATTTTTGCGCCAACAACAGCGGTCTGATGATTATGACAATGAAGGTGATGGTCGAAAAGGTTTATAGCCAAGGGAGCTTGTAAACGTGCGGGGTTTATGACTGGAATGAAAAAAATAAGTTTTGAATCGAGCTAAAACACTGTTGATCAAAAGACATTTCTCATTTACTGTTTTTTTAAACTAAGCTTTAAAACGTCAGATAAAATTGAATTCATTTCAATATTGGGAGCAAAGTTCAAGTTAAAAAATGAACGTTACTGGAATGAAACAAAACAAAGTTCAGAAACTTCTCGGCTTGAAGATCATCTTATATCTTGGGGGGGAGGGTGGGGGAGGAAGGGTGCGGCTAATAATCGAATCTATCTCCTGTCACAGATGAGTAGACCTGTACCTGAGGGGGCTTAAGGGGGGGGGGGGGGGAGCAGGAGTTACGCGGGTGAAGTTTACGGGAGGGGCAGGAGTTTACGGTATAGCATTAGTCAGACTATTGTTCGTGTACATGGAAATATCGGCAGAGGAGTTACTTGTGGCAGTCTTAATCAACCAGTTATATCAAGCTTGTTGCTGTAGTCGAGCGCAAATTTGAGCCATCCATTTTTTTCGTGGAGAAGAGATCCTATCACAGACAGCTTAAGCTCAGTAAAAAAGATTGGGTGGAAACCTCACCCCTTCCCCCCACCTCACCCACTTCCTCCAGTCCTTTCAAACACTAAGTTGAGTTTGGTTCAAGCAAAAATGAACAAATTTTCATGGTGCGTCAACCTTTAAAAAAAAAACACAAAAACAGCATTGACAGGTTAGGATCAAATCGGTTTCCAGATAAAGAATCACAGTATCCAAGTTTTTTTAAAAATAAAATTTATTCGCCCATTATCCAGCGTGCGTTTCCTGCATAAACATTTTGTTACTAGGTGTTATTACTTGTCGCAAGGGACGTTTCTGATTTAAAATAAATCTAACATAAAAGTTGTGTTCAAAGTTGAGAAAAGTTGACAGCACCTAACTGGAAATATAACTCAGTGTATCTCGAAAAGACTTGCTGATTGACCTGACTCTACTTCAGTAGTATTCA